GTGACTGTTTTCTGTCAAAAGAGATTAAAGATGGATTGGAAAGCAAAGATGGATTTCAGAGTTGCTCCTCTAGGGATGGCCGATCCTGGCTTCCATAAACAAAAGCATAATTTCAAAGAAATGTTTGGAGAACCCTGCTTGGCAGTCGTGCAATGGGAGTGAACAAATGCAAATTCTTTATCCAAAATATCAGGGCTCCTTTTCTTTACCACGGCATTTATTCTGTTTATGGGAGTATGAAAATACAAATCTGTGAAACAGAAAAAAGCTGGTTTATTCTTGCTTGAAGTCAAACTGTATTGCAGGATATGCTAATAAAAGAGAAGGGATTAAAAGAGAAGATTCCCTTTGAAGAAAGGGTGCTCTGGGAAAGAAACACAACTTCTCCATGTCCATAGCATGGATTTTCTGGGTTCTTATCCCCAGCTCACTGTGTTTCAGCTCTAGGGGGGTGTTTGGATGAATCTGGGCTGGGATTTGAGTTAAATAACTTAATTTCTGCCTCATTTATAGCTTTTACTGAACCTACTCAACTCCATCTCTTCAGGCAGGGAGATCTGTAAGCTGAGCAGGCAATAGGGAAATAATGATTAAAATAGAAATAATCATTGGGACAGAAAAACTTTGATGAGTCTGATAAGGGAAACATGGATTTGGGTAAAAAAATACACAGTGGTGCATTTGAAATGGACATCCTGGATGTGGATATGGGCCCTGATTTCATGGAATCACAAAATGATGGAATGGTTTGGGTTGGAAGGGACCTTAAAGCTCATCCAGTGCCACCCTACTGAGTGCTCCAAGCCCCAGTGTCCACCCTGGCCTTGGGCACTGCCAGGGATGGGAAATCCACAAGAATTTGGAGTCATAAAAAGATAAAATAAATGGATAGAATGGAATGGAATGGAATGGAATGGAATGGAATAGAATAGAATAGAATAGAATAGAATAGAATAGAATAGAATAGAATAGAATAGCTGACCTGGAAGTGACCCACAAGAATCACCCAATTCCAGCTGGAATATCTCTGAAGGATTTTCTGCTCTCTCCAGGATTATTTTGGTTCTCATCCTTCATCAGCTGATGTCTGCAACATGTTGGTTTCACCTTTCTCTAGAATGAATAGGATATACATAGAATTTTGAACATTTTTTATATCTCAGAAGAAAGGAGTTCACCTCCAATGATGCATTTAGATAATTAACATTCCTGAATAATCAAATACAGTGGCCCAGCTTCAGTTGTTAGATTAATATTCTCTAATAATTAAGAAGTTTATTTTCCTTTAGTGTTTCTTACATTGTGGTTCAGTCATAACATTTTATTATTCATTATTTTCTCTCTTGACTTTCATATCTATGTGCTTCACCCAGAGATCTCTTGACCCTTAAGAACTTCATTGAGTTTCTTTCTTTTACCTCTTCTTGACAGCCCAAACTCTCTCTGGGCTCTCACATTTGCTTGAAAGAACCCCAGTGATATCAATAATTTCACCACTAAGTCTAGATGCTGCAAGTTGTTATTTTTTTTTTCAGTTTTTTCCAAGCTTAACTGTGATTTCTCCTATTTGAATATTCAATGTCTCCCTCTTTGTTTGCTAAACCTCTGAGTACCCCATTTTCCACATCATCCTCATCAGAGGAGAGAATCTTTCTCTTAAAGCTCATCCTGCACCCATTGGGTGCTCCAAGCCCCAGCGTCCACCCTGGCCTTGGACACTGCCAGGGATGGGAAATCCACAAGAATTTGGAGTCATAAAAAGATAAAATAAATGAATAGAATAGAATAGAATAGAATAGAATAGAATAGAATAGAATAGAATAGAATAGAATAGAATAGAATAGAATAGCTGGAAGTGACCCACAAGGATCACCCAGCTGTGATATTTTGAGTTTTGCTTTATTCTGATGGATGTGGCAGCACCCAGCAGGATCCCAGGGCATTGTTTTCCTTTCAATCAGCTTTACAATTGCAAACTTAATTCAGTTCTTTTTCAATTTGCTGTCCATTTCTGCTATTTTTGAGGGTACTGAGTGGGTCACACTGGCAGAGTTAACACAAAAACTAATTAATTGGTTTTTTATGTCAATTCACAGTCTTGCACATTCCAGAGCCAATCCTGACTCATGGGACGAGGCTTCAGCCACAGCAAATCTCTGCAGTGTGGCTTCCCCCCACCCAATGTGGAAATTTGTATTTAAAACTCCACAGTGGGAGTGCCAGCCCCTTCAAGTGCCAGCTTTTCCCCATAGGGATCCAATTTTAATTAGAGAGACAAATTAGAGAAACTCAAATGCTCAGGAAACATTTCTTTCCCCTCCTTGCTAAATCCTTTTTCTGTGGTCGTATCTTCAGACCTTTAAGCCCAGAATTTAATACAGAGAACCTGTTGGTTGTGAGGCTCAGACCACTGGAGGAGTGAATTGGGTGATGGAGGCACAAAAATCAGGAGTAAAACTCAGCAGTTTAATCAAATTAAAGAAAGATCCCAAGTGGGTTTTGGTTAAAACACTGTGGGGACTTAGGACAAAGGTGAGGACCCTCCTGCTTCCCTGATTTTCCTATTCACAGTTGTACCAAATGGGTTTTCTTGCCCTTAAATAATTCTGCCAGACTGCAACCTTCAGTAAAAAATCAGAATTATTCATGGTGTCTGGACCATTATTGAGAGTAATTAGCATTACAGATAACAATATCCTATATTATTTATATAATAAATAAATATATCTATATTATTTATATAATAAAAATATATAATAAATATATTCTACATTATTGATATTCTATCAGAATATTCCTGTCCCATATCCTTAGCAGAAAGTCTGTGTGTACCTGACCAATGACCACCATGAACTTTAAACCTTTTTGGGGGTTATCATTGAAGATATTTGTTTAAAAACAACCTCCCAGGGGAGTTTTGGAAGTCAGACACTGCACGTGGAGCCCAGAAGGTCTGGGCATGACCAGCCACGTGCACTCCAATTATTACAAACCCACTCAATTTCCTTGCTCCCCAATTATTACAATTAATACAAACCCACCGAATTCCCTTGTTCCCCAATTATTACAATTAATACAAACCCACTCAATTTCCTTGTTCCCCAATTATTACAATTAATACAAACCCACTCAATTTCCTTGTTCCCCAATTATTACAATTAATACAAACCCACTCAATTTCCTTGCTCCCCAATTATTACAATTAATACAAACCCACTGAATTCCCTTGTTCCCCACTCTGTTGTTAATTTGGAGATTCCCTTAATGCCCCCACTCTTCAGGGGACACTTTTCCTTCCCTTTTCCAATAAGGACTGGGGTTTGTTTGGAAAGAAAGGAGTTCCTTGTGAAGTGTTGGAACCCTGGTTACTGAGAATTTCAGATTTTCTGTGCTGGCAGGCACTGACCCCAAAAAACCACTACATTTAACCTAAAACCATAGAGGAAGCTTCCACAATTAAATAATAAAACTAAAATGATAAGAGTATAGTTTAAATAGAAGTGTGTAATATCGTGTAGTAAAAAGCATAAAGTTTTAAAATATAGTAATATATATAAAAGAAAATAAAAGTTTTAAAACAAAAGCTCGTCCTTCTTCTGGAGTTTAAATAATATTATGTAATCAAATAAAAATGTCCACATTACAAATCACAAATAAATAATTATGAAATTAAAAATAAAAATAATCAAAATATCATCTCTTAATGAAACATTTATCCTTAAAAGACCTTCTAAAAATACGGCTCCCTTTTTTAGTTTATGAATAAAGTACTATAAAACTCACCATTTATAAAAGTATAATATAAATAAAAACAAATAAAAATCTGTGGTTACTAATTGTTGTGGTGTTGTTGTGGGTCCCAGGACGAGGTGAGAGATGAGAATTGACTCTAAGTTTTTAGAAGGTTGATTTATTACATTATGATATTATATTAAAAAAATATTATACTAAAACTATACTAAAGAAAGAGAAAGGAGACACCAGAAGGTTAGACAAGAATGAATAATAAAAACCTGTGAGAGACTCAGGGTCCTGACACAGCTGGACTGGGATTGGTCATTAAGTAAAAACAATTCACATGGAACCAATCAAAGATGCCCCTGTTGGTGAGCAACCTCCAAACCACATTTGAAGCAATCAGATAATCATTGTTTAGATTTTGTTTCTGATGCTTCTCAGGAGAAAAATCTTGGCAAAGGTTTTCATAAAATATCACAATAACAAACATCTAAATCCAAACAAAAAATACCATCTCACACATTGAATCCCAACCCTAAAAAAAACCCCAAAAACTGAACATCAGTGGTGGTAAAACCAGAAAATTGGAGACCCAATTGTGCTCAGTTGGCCAAATTTCACAGGGAATCCTGACAGGAAGGTGAAATAAATCCTGCAGGCAGGGATGGAGTGGGAAAGGAGAATGGCTGATGCCTTGTGCAGGCTGCCCCAGAGCAGAGGCTGGACAGAGCTAAAGAATAAAGCAGGGATTGATTCAAAGCATCTCCTCCATGGATGCACCTTGGGCAGCACCAGAGCCCAGCCAGGGCTGCACCCAAGATGAACCAAAATGGCCCCAAAATGCACGGCCGGGCACGGGCTCTGTCCCTGGGATCAGTTCTGCTCCATTTGCATCTTGCAGTTCATTGTCCCATCCCAGCTTTAGCCCCTGCAGTCCCACCCTGCTTGTTTTTCTCTCTCCAGCCCACGGGGTTTGTGCTGTGGGGCTGAGATTTGGATCATTTGTCCTTGGTGCCCAGCTGGAGCAGGAATTGTTTTGTCTCCCTGCTCTGTGCACAGAGCTCACCATCCCAGAATGTGAACCCAGACCCACACACTGAAGCAGCACAGAATGGGAAAAATAGAAAAGCCAAAACCTGAGGCATCCATGTGATTTCTGCTTCTGCCTAAAGCTGAAGCATCAGCAAGGGAAGGGCAATGTTCTGGGCAGGTTTGAGATCTCCAGGAATGAATCAGCAGCCAAATGTGCTTTGTGCTTTCAGAGTATGAAATCGAGAGATCCTTTTTCCTGAGGATGAAGTGTGTCCTAGCCAAGAGGAATGCAGGCCTGACCTGCAGTGGCTACAAGGTAATGTCTATAAATCACTCCTCCAACCCTGAAATATCCCACAACTGACAAGTCTATTTATCTAGGTGGTTTTTTTGGGTTTTATTTTTACTTATGTGTAGCTGAGAGCAAAGCCTGTGATGAGAAGAATCAGAAAAGATCCCCAGAATCCCCTCAATAATTCAAATTTAAACTTGGTGGCACACTGCCTCCCCTTGGTCCCTGGGAATTCTCTGGAGCCAGCCCTGGAGCAGGGTTTGGTTTTATTCCCCATGGAGCAGGTGAGGCAGGAACCCAGAGCAGGAATTTGGAGCTTTTCCACATCCCCCCCAGTTACACAAAGCACCTCCTTGGCCTCCACACTAAACAAACTCAGCCATTGCCATCACCTCGGGCTGGAACTGTAGTAAACCACCAAGCCTGTTTATAAATCTTGCAGTTTGTGTGATGTTTTTTATTTATGACACGAAATCCGACGCCACAGCAAACACTGAAGTCGTAGAATAACAGCTGTCATTTGAGTAGTTTTTATTTTCATAGGTGCAGGCAGATTTTATTTTCAGATTTTTAGTAGATTTTTTTTTTCAGATGTCCAGGTAGTTTTTCTTTTCAGATTTGCAGTAGTTTTTATTTTCAAATGTGCAGGCCGATTTTATTTTCAGATTTGCAGCACTTTTTATTTTCAGATATGCAATAGATTTTATTTTCACATATAAGGCAGTTTTTTTTCAGATTTGAAGTAGTTTTTATTTTCATCTTTACAGGCAATTTTTATTTTCAGATTTGCAGTAGTTTTGATGTTCAGACTTGCAGTAGTGTTAATTTTCAGCTTTACAGGCAGTTTTTATTTTCAGATGTGCAATAGTTTTAATTTTCATCTTTACAGGCAGTTTTTATTTTCAGATTTGCAGTAGTTTTTATTTTCAGATTTGCAGTACTTTTTATTTTCATCTTTACAAACAGTTTTTATTTTCAGATTTGCAGTGGTTTTGATTTTCACACTTGCAATAGTTTTTATTTCCATCTTTAGAGGCAGTTTTAATTTCAGAATTGCAGTAGTTTTTATTTTCAGATGTGCAGTAGTTTTTATTTTCAGATGTGCAGTACTTTTAATTTTCATATTTACAGGCAGTTTTCTTTCCAGATGTGCAGTAGTTCTTATTTTCATCTTTACAGGCAGTTTTTAATTTCAGATGTTCAGGTAGTTTTTATTTTCAGATTTGCAGTAGTTTTTATTTTCCAATGTGCAGTAGTTTTTATTTTCAGATGCGCAATAGTTTTAATTTCCAGCTTTACAGGCAGTTTTTATTTTCAGATGTGCAGTAGTTTTAATTTTCAGATTTGCAGTAGTTTTTGTTTTAAGATGTGCAATAGTTTTAATTTTCAGCTTTACAGGCAGTTTTTATTTTCCGATTTGCAGTAGTTTTTATTTTCAGATGTGGAGTAGTTTTTATTTTCAGATGCGCAATAGTTTTAATTTCCAGCTTTGCAGGCAGTTTTTATTTTCAGATTTGCAGCAGTTTTTATTTTCAGACGTGCAATAGTTTTAATTTCCAGCTTTGCAGGCAGTTTTTCTTTTCAGCTGCCATTTGCTGCTCTCCTTGCTGCAGGTTCACTCTGCCCCCTCAGGCAGGGTTGTTCCCATCCGTTCTGCCGGGGCTCATTTTGGGTTGTTGAAAACGCGGAGAGCAAAGCCTGGCAGAGGAGCAGGAACGTGTTCAAGGTGCAGACCTGGATCTGTTTGCCCTCTTCCCCACCTGCCTGCACTGGGAATTCCTCATTACACTGAGCCCTGTTTGCTCAGCTGCTCCCCACAAAAATGCTGCTGTCCCAGAGCTGAATCTGAAATCAGGGAAAAGAGAGAAGGGCTTCAATTGTGACGTCTCCACGTGGCTTTGGGGGTTTTTGGGTTTTTTTAATTCCCAATTATCGCTGTTAATCAGAGGCATCACTTTCTTTGCCTCACTATTAAAAGTTTGCACAGTGAAAAATCAAAGGATTCTCTCGTCTGGAGAGATGTTGGCCTAAATTCATTCCATTTCACTGTGCCTAAAGTCGGGACTTAATTTTTAAGAAATCACCTCATTAGCTGAAGCACAGGAAAAACTCATGGACCAAGTGATGGGGGAATTGAGATCTGCTGGGAGATCTTCTGGCCGTGCTTTTGCTGAACATTTCAATCACTGGAGAGGAGGAAGGTTAAGCAGGAGGAGCCAATTTCCAGGTGATGTTTGGTAGTTGTTTAGAGCACTAAATACACTGAAAATTAATTCCTGTCCACAGGACACAGCTAAAAGCCAAACAAGCACAGAAATTCAGCAAAGGGATGTGATATTCCTGCTGCTTGGGCCAGAAAGTTGGCAGGGGCACTGATGATTTCTGAACACCAGCACCTAAATAAATAAACACTAAATAAATCTTCTGGGCTGGAATAGTCCCCAGGTTACATTTCCCCCTCCCCTTTAGCTGACACTGAATTTTTACAGGCTAACACTGTCATTATCACCTCTGTGAACAGCAATTGTACACAGGGATCCCGAAATCTGAGCTCAGGACCTTGGGCTTGGTCAAGTGTCAAAAAAAACCAGCCCTTCTGAACTTGAGCAGAGAACTTAAATCTCATTTCTTGTGTATTTGCATAAACAACAGTTAATTTTTATTGCTGTTGTGATACATCAATACCCACTGGGTTTTTAAAGTGCCTTTTTTGATGTGTCTTTATTTACATCAGAATAATAACTCATTAAAATGTAAATTTTTTATTCATCTTTGAGTGTGTGTGGGAGAGAGAGATGGACATTTAAAATAAATAACTTCCAGATTTTTTTTTTATCAATGGACAAGAATTCTGGCTGTATCTACAGGAAATCTGTATCAAGGAGCTTAAAGCATTAATTAGAAAGCAATTAGGCGGTCCCCAGAGAGGAGGTGCTTCAATACTGGATTAATCATGCTGTCAGCAAACACAAAACTGCATTTACTGAGTCTTAATCTCTATTTGCAAATTAGCTGCAATCAACAGACAACCCAGAATTGAATGTTATGGGGGAGTGTGTCTGTTGGAATCCTGGATACTGAGAATTCCAGACTTTCTGTGCTGCCAGGAGAGAACACTGCACTGACCTGAGGCCCTGGAGAAGCTTCCAAAATTCAATAATAAAACTGAGATTAAAGGTGTGGAGTTTGAATGGAAGTGTGTGAGATCACAGGGTGGGAAACTCAGAGTTTAAGGGTTTAGAATACAGGAATAGAGAGAAAGCAAGATGGAGGGTTTAGGGTGGAGGCTGCTCCTTCTTCTTCACCTCCTTCTCCATGGGTTTGGGTGGTTTTGTGTCATTGGATAAAAAAGTCCCCATTGTGGGCACGGGTGGTTGGGTATTGGGTTAAAAGTGAAAATAATTGAGGTGTCATTTTTTAATTGGACAGTTTATCCCTCAAAGGCCTTGTAGAGATAGATACAGGGCCATTTTGTAGCTTTTTAGTGAAATGCTGTAGAACTCACGACTTTTAAGACTGTAATAGCAATAAGAACTAATAAACATCTGAGTCTGAGCACAAAATACCGCCTCGAGTTCTTTCAATCCCAACCCTGACCCAGGCAGAAAAGAAGATAAAAACAAATTATGTGTCTTTCTAACCTCATTGAGACTGGGTGGGCAGCAGCTTTGGGCCTTTTCCATCAGATCCTGAGGATGTTTTCCCCTTTTTCCAGGTGATCCACTGCAGTGGCTACTTGAAGATCCGCCAGTACATGCTGGACATGTCCCTGTACGACTCCTGTTACCAAATCGTGGGGCTGGTGGCCGTGGGGCAGTCTTTGCCTCCCAGTGCAATCACTGAGATCAAGCTCCACAGCAACATGTTTATGTTCAGAGCCAGCTTGGATTTAAAACTGATTTTCCTCGATTCCAGGTAAGCAGCTCTTTCATCTCCAGCACCCAGCTTTCATGTGTTTACGTGCAGCGGTTTCCAAACGGGTCAAAACATCCGTGGAAAAAAATCCAGCGGTCCAAGCTAGATCTGGAGCTCAGAGCCTTCAAAGCCTTTCAGGCAGCTGGATAGACCAAACTTTGTCTGGAATGCCAAGAAATAAGAGCCTGTCCAATTTAACCTGGAGGTACCTGCACTTTTAGGGTCAGCTGAAAGGTTCTCGTTGTGAGGATTCATCACAGGAGCAGTGAAACATTTTTTTACCTGAAAGGACACAAATTTCATCATGCAAAGCCAGCAAAAGGAATGAGGATGTACCAAAAAAAACCCAAAAAAACAACCCCAAAAGTGGAATACTGAGATCAAACAACTGGCTGGCATCATCCAGAAAGCTTTTGAGAGAGAAGTAAGGAAAGAGAGTTAGGAAGCAGTAAGGAAACAGAGGTTCTGTCTTTTGGTGTAATGTTTTAACTATGAAACCAACACTAATAATGGGGTTGTTAGAATGGAAATTAATTCCATTGGCTACTACACATGAAAACAGGACCTTCTTGAACAAAATTTTGGGAAAAACAGCTGAGGAAGGAGAGCCCTGCCTCCACTTCAGCTGATGGAGCTCAGATGAGCACAGAACCAGAACTGAAACTCATTTCTCTGGTTTTGGAGCAAGTACCTTGTAGCACACAATACTTTGTCCAGTGCAGTCCAGGAGACCTGGAAGGGAAAATCCCAAATACACAAAGTATTGACAAGATGATAATTCTTCAAAAATCCTTTCCTGTGGGTCCCCCATTTCCCTGGCAGGCTGGATTTGCTGGGAACACATTCATGCAGTGAATGTGGGAGAAAACCTCTCTACCCAAGAGAGTGGAGGCCAACCAGGCAAGAAGAGGCTTTTCTGTGTGCTCAGCCCAGGAGACAGTGGCTCCATCAGCTGCTGGGACACAAAGGGCTCCTTGTTTCTGGAACCCTTCCTCGTTTTTTGGCACGCGTCGCTTCGTGCCGCGGCTACAAAGGAGCACGAGGGGTTCAGCAACACGTCCCTGCATGTGGGGGAAAGGAAATGATGTGCCTGGGAGGAACTGCCTGGAGACAGAAGTGTCTTCAAAGGCCACAGAACAAGCAGGGGTGTTGACAGGAGCAGGGACAGACCCAGAGCTGTTGCAGAGCTGTGTTTACCCAGGAGCAGATGGGTGTCATCCACGCGCGGGACAAGAAGGGATATTGAGCTTCACCAAAGCCTTTTGCTCTCCCAGCTGAGCAAACCAAACTGTATTTGCTGGAAACAGAGGCATGTTAGGAGTTAGAAAAGACTGGTTTCAGGCTTGGTTCTGGTTTCCATACAAGGGAATGGATCTTGAGACATAACAGTCACAGCAGACAGCATGAAACCATGGGAAGGAGCAGCTCAAAATCCCTTTCTGGCCACCTGACACAACATAAACCACACAGGAGTTCATCCACTGAAGTCACCAGAAGGAAAAGACAGTCACTTCCCTCCACAGTGAGCTGCTCACTCTGATTTTTGTGGTGCCTTCATTCCCAGGGTGTTTAAAAAGACTTTGAAGGACTCAGGAGACCAGAACTGATCAGTGGGGTGAGCTCTGTGTGTCCTGTCACCTGCACAGCACTACCTGGAGAGCCCAGGCTGCCTGAGAGATTAATTTGATGTTGAGGAAGTAAACCAGCTGAGTTTATTTCCAGATTCAACCTTTTCCAAAATTTGGGTGTCCTAGGAACTGTCAGTGATGGTTTTTGTGTCACCAGCTTCAAAGTGAGACTGCACCTTTGGGAAAAAGACCCCCTGAACCCCTGGGCTGTGTTTTTGGTGCTTTGGTTGGGTTTGGATTGATAGCAGAGCCTTGGAAAATGTTAAAGATAGAACTCTGAAAATCTTAGGCTTTGTGTTTTCTCAGATCACTGCACCTGTGTAAGCAGTATGATAAATGATATAATTGTTAGATGTGGTGATTGTTTAGTAATTAAATATAATCATTATATAATCATAAGAAGAATCGTGAGAAACTATGTTGGAAATTTAAGGGGGTTATGTTTAGCTGAAATCTATGTATACAATAGAAGAATAGAAGTTTAATAATTAACATGAAAGTTATATAACGATAGAATATAAAAACCACGATCACCTCGAATGTATGGTTGGAGTCAGATTTGAGTGAACACTCCTGACACCCAGAGCTCTGAATAAAAGTACCTGCATATAATCACTGATGTGATTATGTGTTTCTGAACACTAGCAGGATGAGCTGTGTCTGTACTCAGCAAAGGGGCAGGATGCAGCTGCCACCCTGCTTTTCAGTGCACTGAAGTCAGAAGGAGAATTGAAACCTGAGCAGGATCTTCCACCATTATTTCGTGCTCCTGATTGGCACTGCAGAGGAGGAACACAGCATCTATTCAAAGGCATTTTGATGCTGTTGTCCTTCAGAAGAATCCAAGCCCTCAGCCCTCTCAAGCAGAACCTCCTCAGCCTCTGTGGGGTCCACTGGGCTGGTTAGAGTCAGAACATGAGAACAGAGGATGCACAATTGTCATAAAATTTTAAAAAAACTAATCAAAATGTGCATTATCATCAACAAGTGCAAAATGTGCATTATCATCAATCCTACAATGACAGGAATTGGTTGGGACCCCCTGCTCGTTTCTGTGGACACTCCTGTGCTATCTCTGTGCTGTGCACCCTCACCAGTGTGAAGCTCAGACCAGGAACACCCTTTGCAAGTCCATGTCCTGCCCATCCCTGCTCAGTTCATGGCATGAAGAGGCTTGGGGAATTTAAACTGGGCTTCCTTCAATCTAAACTGGAGGACAACCTCCAAGAGCACCCTAGGACACTCCAGCTTTAATAAATATTTCAGTCCACAGGCCTAGGCCAGAGCTGGTAAAACTCCTGCAATTAAAATGTGCAGATGCCTCTGCTGCTGCAGGAGAAGATCCTCAGCAGAGACAATTTTACTGTCACCTGCTAAGGGAGTGTGACACTTGTTAATGTGGACATTCCTTACTGCTCTGCCTTTTTGAGGCAAAGAAAACTCAGGACATCACAAACCCCCCCACAACCCTGGGTGAACAAACCACGGTTTGGCCAAGTGGCACATTGTACTTTAAGGACTATTTTTTCCTCAACTAAATTTAAAAAAGTCCATTTGAAACGTGAAGTTTGACTCTTCATGTCTGACCCAGTGTAAGTCTGACCCTGAATTTGATTCTTTAACATCTGCAGAGATGCTGCTGTTTTGAATTCGTTACATTCTTCTACTTCTGGGATTTTTTTTTTTTTTCTTTTTTTTGAAGTCTTGCCTCAGCTTTCCTTTCCTCACCCTGTGGTCTTCACACCTCCTTGTCTTTCCACATTCTCAGCTGGAATAAGCTCCTGCTTTTTTCTCCTGTTAGGCACCAGCCTGGATTTATTCACAGGCACTGATCACATGTGGCCCAACACACCTTCTACACTTGTAGCTCTGCAAAAGCAAATGAAAATGTGTCAGCAGCCCACAAGAGAGGTTTTATTGTTTCACGAGCAGCTCCTCGAGTGGAACTTTGTGCAAAGGATCCTGCATGGCAGTGGCAAAAGCCCAAGGTGGAAATCAGTAAAAGAGCTCTTTTTCCTGCCTGGGTGTACCAGGGAAAAGCTGCACCTTGCTTTGGTTGGGCTGAAAGGGTTTCTTTTCTTGTAAAGGTGAAGTTTCTGTTTCCAAAACTAACATTTCATCCCACAGCTTTCAGGCACTGATTTGTTGCCACAACCAAATGCTGGGTCAATGAAACGGAATATTCCTCGAGGTTTTGTTTATTGCAGATTTTTCCTTTTCAGGGTGACGGAATTAACCGGCTATGAACCCCAGGATCTGATAGAGAAAACCCTCTACCACCACGTGCACGGCTGTGACGTTTTCCACCTGCGATACGCTCACCACCTCTGTGAGTGCCTGGGCTGGGGCACAGGAGGGACCTGGAGCTGCTGCAGAGCACCAGGATGGGCAGAGGGATGGAGCAGCTCTGCTGGGAGGAAAGGCTGGCACAGCTGGGATTGTTCACCTGCACAGGAGAAGCTTTGGGCTGAGCTCAGGGTGGCCTTGCAGGGCCTGCAGGAGCCCCAGGAAAGCTGCAGAGAGACAATTTCCAGGGCATGCAGGGACAGCACCCAGGGAATGGTTTCACACTGAAAAATCACAGGTTTAGGTGGAATGTTGGGAAAAAAATCCTTCCCTGTGAGGGTGGGGAGGCCCTGGAATAGAATTCCCAGAGGAGCTGTGGCTGCCCCTGGATCCCTGGCAGTGCCCAAGGCCAGGCTGGACACTGGGGCTGGAGCAGCCTGGGACAGTGGGAGGTGTCCCTGCCATGGCAAGGGGTGGGCTGAGATGATCTTTGGGGTCCTTCCAACCCAAACCTCTCTGGGATTCCATGATTCCATGAGTTATCCAGGTCCAAGCCTGGCTGATGTCATTTATCAGCCCAAGAACCTGAACACTTCAAGTTATCGGGTGTCAAATTCTCCTCACCAAAATAATAATCCAGGCTTTGGGTTGAGGGATAATGAGCAGGGGCTAAAAGCAGAGGGAAGTTGTGGATTCCACATCCCTGGCAGTGCCCAAGGCCAGGTTGGACACTGGGGCTTGGAGCAGCCTGGGACAGTGGGAAGTGTCCCATGGCAGGGGTGGGAATGGGATCATCTTTAAGGTCCTTCCCAACCCAAACCATTCTGGGATTCTATGGAATACATTGAATACACTGAGAAGTTTTGCAGACAACAAGCAACATGCTGGAAAGCAGAAAAAAATCCTTTCCAAATCTTGACTGGAGAGATTTTCAAAAGTTCTTGGCTATGACTTAAGGAAACCATTAATTGTGTAAATACAGCTCAATATGCTGGGCTTCCGAAAAGAAAAAAAACAACACCCAAAGCAACTTATCTGGCCAGTTGTTGTACTTAGGGGATCCAGGCTATTTTGAATATTTGGAATTAATTCTGGATGGTGATTGTGTGAAGGAAAAGAAAACCTAAGGAGCAAGTAAATGAGAGGGGAAAATCTGAACTTCACTAGCCTCTGCTGTTAAAACAAAAATATGCAGCAGCTCTGCATTCCTCTGAAATATGTTAGTAATAATCATCCTGTGTTTGAAGGGAATGCAATCCCAAAAACTCCTTGGAGGGACATTCATTAGTAGCATGTGGATGAGGTTCAGAGAATGGATTGTCAGGAAAAAAATGACACATTTAATAATTTCCCATCTTCCAACAGAGTCACTAATCATATCTTCAAACATCTGGATCTGGGAAGGAGCTCATTCAGTAGCACATTAATTTGAAAAGCAAATTGAGGGAATGGCTGAACTCTGGATTTGGCTCCGTTTGCTGCAACCCATACGAGGCAAAGATGACATCCAAAAACCAATGTCAGGGAATTTTTTTTCCAGATTGCTCCTGTAGGCTGGAAGCAGCCAGAGTCAAATCCTTCTTTTAGGCTTCCTTCTTCTCTTAGTGTGTGCTACTGATGAGGATCTGGAGTACCAAGGAGGTTGTAACTGTGTTTGGCGAGTCCAAGCTGAAATCGCGAGTGCTGAATTCCGCCGGGGGCAGGGTGTGCTACACCTGGGAAAGCAAAATCTGAGCTTGAACAGCAAGGTCAGATTTACCAAAACATTACTGAACACTCTGGGCTGCTGAGAACTGGAAAAAAGGATGACCAGGGCACATGGAAAATCCTGTCAGGGACGCCCTCCCTGTAGCGGTGACATCTGCTTGTGGATGTGGCTGTTGACCGGTTCAGAATGAACTCAGTTGTTTCCACCAGACTGTTTGAAATACCTTCATCAACCAGCATGGAGATGATGCCACCACAGCCACAATCACCTCTGGAAAAACAGTTTTCCACTTTAGAGTAGCAGGATGGATAATTCTGTGGCTGCCAGTTTGATCCATGTACGCCTGGAGTTTTAAATGAAGAGACAAATCATGTTCACTGAATTACCCACCACATCCTTCCACAAGGAAAAAAAATCCCTCAGCCAAATAGGATACTAAGAGCAGTTCTGTAGATTAAAGATAAATTACTGTAAACTTTAAAAACAGAAGAAAAATGGGAGCCATGCATAGGAATTTATGAAAGCAGATAAATCCCAAGAAGCAGAAAATAATGAGTAATGCTTGGGCAGCAGTGGGAACAGTGCAGGGTCATGGTTGGAATACCAGGTAATGGGAATTATTAAACCAGATGTAAAGTGCACAAAGCCCCTCTGGGGAGCACTGTGAGAGCTCCCCCAGCATCCATCAGCAAATGTCTCAGGAACATGAGCAGTGAAAGGTTGGCAGGTTTGTTGTACCATTCTATAAAGCAATCTGATGATGAAGTGTCACCTGATGCAGAAATCCAAAGAGAAACATCTTACACCTAATAAGGGTATTAAGGGGGAAAAAAAAAAAGCAACCCTAAACTAGGATAACCATTTGCTTTTTTTAAGAGGAAAAAAATCCCAAACTGAAGCCCTGAAGCAGCTGAACTCAGAGTGAGGCAGCACAAGGAATAAAACAAAGGAAACAGTGAGGGGAACAAGTTAGGAGGGACAGAACAAGAACATCAAGCTAGGAGGGAAATGTAGATGTGAATATTTGCCTAAGGTGTGCTGGCAGCAAAGAGAGTTTCCTGCTTGAAGCATTTGATTGGCTTCCAGCTCCAGGAAAACACTTGTGGTGCTTGAAGCTGTGTTATTCCCAGAACCCCTTTCATACTCACAGTGTTTGCCCTGAAATGTGGCCACACAAATAAGGAGGCCCTGCCCAAGGATCCTGCACTCTAAAACACAGGACACAGTTCCAGTGCAGACAAAATATCTTTGTGCTCTCAGAGAAATCCCTTTGTTTGTACCATTTTAAGGGGGGTTTGGGGCATCCCACACGTTGCAGCATCCCTGCTCTTCCCACAGGAACTTGAACAGGGTTCAGGTCTCTGTACCCAGCCCAGCTGGTGTCCTCACCAAGCCCTTCTCTTGCTCCCTGGAAGTCACCCTATGTTTTTGTAGGGTTATTTCACAGAAAAGCTCAGTTCCACCATCTCTGGTGCTGGGTCTGCCCCTGCTTTGCCAGCACTCAAACCTCCTGGCAGAGCAGCACCAGATTTTCAGAGGTCTGAAAAGAAAATAGGAGTTTGCTGGGCACCGTGCCTTGCCCAGGGGCCGTGCCCATGACATGCCAGGACAGCTAAACCAGGATCTGCTGCCAGTGTGGAGCCAAGAAATCCATTTCTTGCAGTGGGATCCTCCAGTGCAGCCTGGGAACTCCCAGCCACACGCCCGGGAGCCTGGTGGAGCCTTTTGAAATAGTCCTGTCTGACAGCCCAGAGCCTTTCCCAGCCTCCCTGTGAAACCAGGAGCGAGCCAGAGCCCTGGAACACCCAGTCACAGAGGGCACATCCAGAGGAGAAAGCCACAGGATCCTCCCCCTTGGGCTGCAGCAGAGGCCACCAAGAAGTCTGAGCCTGCACAGATTGTCTGGGTGGTGGATTTGCCTCACTCCCATTCCTGAGGTTTCCTTTTCAGCATCAAACAGGGCAGCTGAGCACAGAGCCAGATGGAAGCTGAGCTCACTCCCTGTCTCACTTGCTGTCCCTCAGCCAAGGTCAGACTTTCCCCAGATTACTAAAAAATCAGGAGACACAAAATCCTCCCCCGTCCCCAGAGAAATACTGGTTAATCCATATAATTAGGAAGGAAAGCTGAACGCTGTAGCCCTCAGTGGTTTTCACATCTTTTCAAACACTGTCTTAACTGCAGAGCTAAAAGAGGGATTTAAAAAAAAATCAGTGAGAGAGGAGGAAAGCCAAAACAAGTCCCAAAGCACACGGAAGAACTTTGCTATAGTTAGTGATCCATGACAGCATTAATTTCTCTTTAGGAAGACTGAGTGTAGCAAAGCATTTCGAACTCAAGGAAAATGTGCTCATTAAACCAGCACAAAGACCTAGTTCTGAAAGCCCAGACCACATTCCAAACATTACCTGTTACATGGCCTGTGCTGAAATGTAAGGATCATTTCCTGGAACGGGACCATTTGGATTTCAGAATGAATCATCAAATCATAAAAGCACAGAATGGTTTGGGTTGGAAGGGATCTTGAAGATCATCTCATTCCAACGCCCTGCCATGGCAGGGACACCTTCCACTGTCCCACTCTGCTCCAAACCTTGTCCAACCTAATCTTGGACACTTCCAGGGATGGGGCAGCACAACTACAGAGCGCCACCCACAATTATAGAACACTCAGAAATAGCAAAACTGTGGCATAGAGACAATTATTAATATTTTTAGAACAGAATCTTTGAGTAGCCACTCCATGACTTTCAACTTGCAGTGATGAATTGCACTTAAAAATACAAATGTCTTTATATTTTCTAGGAGTGTTTGCATACTTAGAAACACACTCCTCATGATTTTTTTAAATCATGCACACCCTCCTCCCATAAGGAATTCCATGTAGAAATGTAGGAGTGGAAGGAACATCAACAAGAGTGAGGCAAAAAGCTGATAGCTAAGAGAGATTTGAAACCCCAGATAGCAATGGCTTGGTGACCATCATGGAGGGTGGGGTTTGAATGTTCTGCAGGACCATGGAATGATGGAATATCCTGAGTGGGAATAAACCCACAGGGATCCCCCAGTGCCAGCCCTGCCCTGCCCAGAGCCCAGCAAGCCCAGCCTGGCCATCCCTGGCAGCGCTGGCCAAAGGCTCCTGGAGCTGTGGCAGCCTCGGGGCCGTGCCCATTCCCTGGGCAGCCTGGGCAGTGCCAGCACCCTCTGGGCAAGAACCTTGCCCTAAAACCCAACCTAAATCCCTCCTGGCACAGCCTCAGGCACTCCCTGGGTGCTGTCCCTGCCCCAGGGAGTAGAGGTCAGAGCTGCAGACAGTTTTAGGTGTTCATTTTGTTGCCTTCTGAACACACAGGTACCTCATCCTAAAATGGAAGGATTGACACTTCCAGAAAGAGCTGTCAATTTTGTAAGAGCCTGATTTTCTTTGGGAGATAAACTGGAATTGAAGAAAAGTTTAAATATGTTGTGATGTGCGATGGGTAAGAGAGGAGGTAGCCCAGAGAGGTGGCCCATGTGCTCCAGACTTTGGTAAACCTCTCTGAGTCTTCCAGAACCACAAGAAAATGGATGAAAATGAAGGAGAGAGATTTTTTATATGGGCAAAATTCACAGAATTCCCAGAATTCCCAGAATCCCTGGGTTGGGAGAGACCTTCAAGGCCATCGAGTCCAGCCCAGCCCCAACCCCTCAACTGAACCCTGGCACCCAGTGCCACATCCAGGCTTTGTTAAACACACCCAGGCATGGGGACTCCACCACCTCCCCGGGCAGCCATTCCAGAACTTTCTCACCCTTGCTGGAAAAGCCTTTTCCCTGCTCTCCAGCCTGGATTTCCCTTGGTGCAGCTCGAGGCTGTGTGCTCTGGTTCTGTCAGTGACAGAAAAAAGTGACAGGACAAGGGGAATGGTTTTAAAATGACAGAGAGAAGGTTTAGATTCCTTTTCTTAATTATATTTATATAAAGGAATTTCTGCCATTGGCCACTTTTTTTGAACACAATTTGTGCAGTGAGCTCAGCCCATGATTCCCTGATTTACAATTAATAACTGTATGGGAGAGAAAGAGGATGGAGTTTCCAGAGGAATGATCCAAGGCCACACAAGAGAAGAACCAGCTTCAAAGGCTGGGCATTATCTTCTAGTGAATCCTGAGATAAAGGCCTGGCACTGAACCAGAAATATTTGTGGTTGGATTTAATATTTAGAGATGCTGCACAACTCCTGTTACAGCACAGCCTCCTGCCAAAATATCCTTGTTCACAGAGGATCCAGAATAGCTCAGGGAGGATTACATGGCTGGTGAATTTATCAGATATCTGATTCCCCTCTCTGTCCTTGTCTTTAAATAAATTGTCTTTGTTTGGGTGCTTCACAAACAAAAAGTTTTTTAATTTTACCCTTTAAAATCAACCTTCATGATAACAGAGGAAAAAAACCACCACAGAATAAAATACATGATAATCTGTCAAGCTATGAGAGAAGTGCTTCCAACTAATCTGGAAAAAAATCTCAAAATCACAGAATCCTTAGGGCTGGAAGAGACCTTCAGGGTCATGCAGTCCTCACCCCAAACCCTGTCCCCAAGGCCACATCCAGACTCCTCCTGAGCACCCCCAAACCTCCCTGGGCAGCTCAGCCCAAGGCCTGACCACTCTGCCAGGGAAATTTTCTTTTCCAATCTCCAACCTCAACATCCCCTGGTGCAATTTGGGACCATTTTCTCTCTTTCTTTCAGAAGAATTGTGTCCATTTTAAAATATTTTTGCTGCCTTGAACTTTTCTTTTACTGTTAGAAATTTTAAAGCAGTGTTTGTGAAGAATGTGACCATAGGTGACCCAGAGAAGAAGGAAGACAAAACTTAGGACTCTTCAAATTTTCTAGAAATAATAAGGTGGTGTTATGAATCTATAGAAAGGGGCAAGATAGGTAATTTTGTAGGTGGTTATTTAAAGTTAGTTGGGAGGAAGAGGAAGGAAGGTGTTAAGACATAGATTGGACATAGGAAGAGGAAGGAGGGTGTTAGAACATAGGTTGGGCAAACTTAGGACTCTTCAAATTTCATATAAATAATAATGAATCTATAGGAAGGGGCATGATAGGTAATTTTGTAGGCAGTTATTTAAAGTTAATTGGGAGGAAAAGGAAGGAGAGTGTTAGAACATAGGTTGGGCAAACTTAGGACTCTTCAAATTTCATATAAATAATAATGAATCTATAGAAAGGGGCATGATAGGTAATTTTGTAGGGGATTATTTAAAGTTAGTTGGGAGGAAGAGGAAGGACCGTGTTGGAACATAGGTTGGACAAACTTAGGACTCTTCAAATTTTATATAAATAATAATGAATCTATAGGAAGGGGCATGATAGGTAGTTTTGAAGGCGGTTATTTAAAGTTAATTGGGAGGAAGTGGAAGGACAGAGTTAGAACATAGGTTGGACAAACTTAGGACTCTTCAAATTTTATATAAATAATAATGAATCTATAGAAAGGGGCAGGATAGGTAATTTTGTAGGCGGTTATTTAAAGTTAATTGGGAGGAAGAGGAAGGAGAGTGTTAGAACATAGGTTGGACTCAGAAATCTGAAAGGTTTTTTCCAACATCATTAATTCTATGATTCCGTGAGCGAGAAAAGCACTTGCCTTGCAAATAAACCTCTCCAGGAAGAGGTCATGACTCCAAAAAAATGTGAATTTAAAAAAAATTTTTCTTTTTCTTGTGTTCCCAGTGCTGGTGAAAGGCCAAGTGACCACCAAGTACTACCGGCTGCTGTCCAAGCAGGGAGGCTGGGTGTGGGTGCAGAGCTACGCCACCATCGTGCACAACAGCCGTTCGTCACGGCCTCACTGCATAGTGAGTGTCAATTATGTCCTTACGTAAGTCCAAATACTTTGTACCATTTGTTCTCACTAATTGACTCATTAAGGATTAAATCTGCCAGGGTTTCTTGGCTTGTGCCGTCCGGTGTTCTGTGCTTGCGTGTTGCGGCCTTCTCTGTTTGTGCGGTCTCATCTCTTTAGCTGAGAGAAAATGTTGTTGTGCTAATTATTATCATTGTTATCTAGATCTTCATCTTGTCCTGGGAAGGGCAATGGAGGTGGTGAAGGGGCTGGGAAATATCTCATGAAAGAGCTGGGGGGGCTCAGCCTGGAGAAAAGGAGGCTCAGGGGGGACCTCACTGCTCTGCACAACTCCTGACAGGAGGGGCAGTTGTCACAGACATCCTTCATGAAAAATCCTTTCTTTGGATTTTTTCTTGTGAGAAGCTGCAGTTTCAGCAACCAAAAGTAACCAATGGTTATCTGCTGCTGTGGAATGTAACAGGTAGACCTGTGATTGGTCTCCTGTGGGTGTTTGGATTTCCTGACCACTCATGGCAGAGCTGGCTCTTGCTCTCTGTCTGAGACACAGATCTTTGTTATTCATTCTTGTCTATTCTTAGCTTAGCCAGCTTCTGAAGAAACCTTTCCCTTTCTATTTCTTTTTAGTATAGTCTTAATGTAACAAATATCATAATAATAAATCAAGCCTTCTGATCATGAAGTCAACATTCTCGTCTCTTCTTCATCCTGAAAACCCTTGTGACCATGGTCACAGGCAGTGAGGGGGGGTGAGGCTCTGCTGCCGTGTCCCAAGGGGAAGGAGGAGAGGAAATGGCCTTAATTTTGTCAGGGCAGGTTCAGATTGGAGATTAGAAGGGTTTTTTCCTTTGAAAGAGTGGTCAGGCCTTGGGCTGAGCTGCCCAGGGAGGTTTGGAGTCACTCTCTCTGGAATTATTCAGGAGTAGTTCTGGATGAGGCCCTTGGGGTGATGCTGGTGGTGCTGGGTAATGGTGGGACTGAATGAGCTTGAAGATCTCTTCCAAAGTTGAGTATTCTGTGACTTTTTGATCAAAACCAACCTTGCAGCTTGTGTGGTTTAGTTACAATCACACACTGCTGGCAGGGGAGGAACATTGCTCCTTTTCCTTTCCTCAGGGCAGAGACCAGTTCCTGGCTGAGCAGGAGACAGATTAGTTGATCTCTGCCTTTCCATGATTCCAAACCACAGGGAGCCAGGGATGGCTGAGGGAAGATGACACAGCTCAGCCTCAGAGAGAGGGTACACTTCATCCAAAGGTGTTTATGTGGTTCCCAGTGGAATTTTTTAATAGACTTGCATGGGAATGAGGTCACCCCATAAGATCCTCTGCCTCCTGACTTCCCCAGACTCAGTGAAAATCTTGGAAGAGTGAAAACTCAGGCCTTGTGAATGCTAACGTGTATTTTTACAGGAGTTAGTTTGGATTTTCCTGTGTTTTTAATTTACTGGGCTGTTCTTTTGCAGAGATATTGAGTACAAGGAACTTCAGTTGTCACTGGACCAGGTTACCATTTCCAAGTCACAGTTTTCATGCAGAAACTCAGTACCTACCTCGCAGGAAACAAGGAAAATAGTAAAACCCAAAAGTAATAAAATGAAGGCAAAACTCAGAACAACACCTTACCCACCACAGGTAAATTTTCCAGCAATATTTAATTACCAGTTGTTCTCACTGAGTTCTTGGGACAGTGTAGAGATAATCCAGGACTGAATTTACTATAAAACAGACTATAGGATTGTCAACCCAGGAAATCCCTCATAAATCAGGATAAAATTAGATCCTTTTTCCTTGGGGTGGAAAGTACAGGTAGCACAAAGCAGCTCTGGCAAGTGATGTAAAACCTTTGGGATATGGAGTGTGTGAGGCACTACAACCACCACGTCCTTTCTTGGCAAAAAGAAGAAAATCCTGTACTTGGAATTGTGCTGTGAAAATCTGTGCTGGTGTAGGATGTGTGTCATTTACTGTGGGTGTGTGGAGTTCTTGATATCAGCAGGAATTTCTTCCTGGAAAAGGTGCTCAGGCCTTGGGAAGAGCTGCCCGGGGAGGTTTGGACTCCCCATCCTGGGAGGTGTCCCCTGGAGGTGGCACTCAGAGCTCTGGGCTGGGGACAAGGAGGGCATTGGGCACAGCTGGGACTCCATGAACTGGGAGGGCTTTTCCAAACTTAATCCTGTGATTCTGTAAAACTGAACTGCCAGAATTATCAGATCAAAGCAGATTTTTTGTTCCCATGTGAAGGCGAAGTCGCAAAGAGGGGAACTTCAGACACAGCGCTCAGTCCGTGCCTTGAGCCAGCGAGGCCCAGCTCTGGTGCCTGTCTGACATGTCCTGTACTTTCCTACAAAAGTTCCTCCTTTAACTCTCTTCCCTGCTCTTTTCCCCCTCTTTCCCTCAGCAATACAGCTCGTTCCAAGCAGACAAACTGGAATGCAGCCAGGTGGGGAGCTGGCGCTCCAGCCCCGCCGCCAGTGCCGCCGCCCTTCAGGAACAGAACTTCCATTCAGAGAGCAGCGAGCTCCTGTACGCCCCTCCCTACAGCCTGCCCTTCTCCTACCACTATGGACACTTCCCTGTGGATTCCCACGTCTTCAGTGGCAAGAAGCAAATGCTGCCTGCAAAGTTCGGGCAGGCCCAAGGGGCGCCCTGCGAGGTGGCGCGGTTCTTCCTGGGCGCGCTGCAGACCAACGGCGAGTGCCAGTGGCACTACACCAACTCCCTGGTTCCCAGCAGCCAGTCACCCTCCAAAAGCCTTCCTGAGCAGCCAGTGAACATCATCAGGCACAACCTTGCACAGAGTTATGAAGGTGGGTGTCGCTCTGAGCCAGGAGAAAAAGCTGGGCCGTGCGGTGGATGGGGAGGATTTGTGTTCGCGGTTTGAAAAATGGTTTTGGTGCCTTGGATCCCTCCCTCAGTTTGGGAAGGACATTGGGATGTCCTGGAACATATCCAGAGGGGCCAAGGAGGCTGGAGAGGGGCTGGGAACACAAACCCTGTGAGGAAGCCCTGAGGGAGCTGGGGGTGCTCAGCCTGGAGCAAAGGAGACTCAGGGCTGCCCTCCTCACTCTGCACAGCTCCTGAAAGGGGCCTGTGCTCAGCTGGCCCTGGGCTCTTTCTCCAGCAGCACTGACACAACCAGAGCACACAGCCTCGAGCTGCACCAAGGGAAATCCAGGCTGGAGAGCAGGGAAAAGGTTTTTCCAGCAAGGGTGAGAAAGTTCTGGAATGGCTGCCCGGGGAGGTGGTGGAGTCCCCATGCCTGGGTGTGTTTAACAAAGCCTGGATGTGGCACTGGGTGCCAGGGTTCAGTTGAGGGGTTGGGGCTGGGCTGGACTCGATGGCCTTGAAGGTCTCTCCCAACCCAGGGATTCTGGGAATTCTGTGAGTGGCTCCCTAGAGCAGAGGCTAGACAAGATTAAGAGAATAAGAGCAGGTATTCATTAAAGGCTCCACAGACACACCTGGGGCCCTCAGAAGCCTCCAGAGGCCTCACCCAAGCTGGACAATGGTCACCAGTGTTTCACACAATTATCAGTTTGATCCATTTACATATCAGGGGTTAATTCTCCAATTACAGCTTCAGGTAATGAAGTCATTCACCCCCAGTTTGCTCCTCCCAATTCACTTTTGTTTGTATTTTCAGGGCCTGAGGCTGTAGGGTGTCCTTGGATCTCAGGCCTAGGGGGATTGCTCTGTCTGACCAAAATGTGGAGACAGGAACTGACACTTTATAAGGAGTTTAGAGTCATGCACTAAGGCAGTGCAGGATTGGAAAAATAGAAAAGCTGAAATCCTGAGGCATCAGTTTAGGAAAGACAGAAAATCAGAGGCAGTGAAGTGTAACAATCATTATATTTATGGTATTCCCAATGTTCCTTCTTCCCGTTTCCATCAGCACTGGACTGGGAATATTATCAAAGCTTCAGTTGACAACATGCTCTCACAAAAATCACTTTTAGAGCAGCACAGGATATCTTTTCCTTCAGTACTGGCACAGTTTATTCTCTTGTTTTGTACTCTCAGAGTTATTTAAGTGGAATTTCTCAGGTAAGTCACAGCTGAAGCCAGATTGAAACTTGACCTCCACAGTAATTTTTGATAATTTTAACACAGAAATTAAAATAAACACCATCTATTCCCATAAAAATTGAAGCTTTTCCTTTCTCAGCACAAAGCCACTCTGAATGTGGCTTTGTGCTGAGAAAGGAAATTATTAAAATAAAAATATATATATAAAAATTAAATAAAATAAAAATTAAAAAAAAATTAAAAAAATTAAAATAAAAAATTAAAATAAAAATATATATAAATTATTACCTTACAGAGTAATAATTCTGTTTTACTTTTTATAATAATTGTGAATTTGAAAATGTCTCCCATCACCTGCATTATTTCACTGTGCAGATGGTCAGGGATAGAAATTCTTTAAGGAAAGGCATTGACTTCTCTGTAAGAAATAACCTTGAAAAATTATAACACAACCAAATGTAAAGATGCTCAAAATACCCTCTAATCACAGAATCAGGGAATAATTAGGGTTGGAAGGGAATTCTGAGGATCATCTCTCCAGCTTGTTTATTCCCACTGTGTTCCACCAGAACAGGGTTTCTTGCAGTGGTTTTGGCAGAGATTTCTCTCTCATTTCAAACACTCCTGATCTCACAGCTGCCCCAGCTCCAAAATGAAACTGAGTCAAGTTGTGAGGGCAAGGAACAATGTTAATCAGCTAAAGAAACAAAAATATTTGGACAAACCAGACTCTGGCAATTCAGGCTATTTTGGGATGGTGTCAAGTAATAATAACTCAATTAATAGCATTAATTACTCCCCTGACCCAGCTTCCCCTTCAAGCCAAACACGACTCTGAATTTAATTGTTTTCATGAATGAGCCTTGGAAGTTCTGCTGGGATTTCAGGTTGCTGCTGATTTTAGCAAGAGCAGCCTTGGTTGGCCTGGATTTCCCCCCTGTTCCCTGCTTTACTTTCAGTAACTGTGAGAATGATACAAAAACCTGTCACAAAAATATGCAAAAAAAAAAAATAAAACCCCACCACATCTGAGTTTATTCAATCTTATTAAATATAGGAGTTCTTTTGTGATTTAAGGTGTATCTGAAAGTGTCAGAGAACACCAACAAGGGCAGAATTCAACTCAGCTGCTGCAGAACTCCCAGGAAATCCTTAATTTAAACTCCTTTAAGCAGAATTCCAGTTTATCACATTCCAATCCAGAGCAAATCCTTGGATCCCATCCACATCTCTCTGCATTCATAATTTTCATTAATTAAAAATCACCGATGAGGACTGAGGTACTGCTGTGCAGTCAGATGGAAACCCTCATTTCTTGGAATGGAGGAAGCAGAAGGGGAAATTTAAAATAAAAAAATAAATTTAAAATAAAAATATTTTAAATAATTTTTAAAAAAATTAAAATAAATTTTAAATAAAAAAATTAGGTAGTCTTAAGGGTACCATTTTAGATAGGATCTTGGAAACCAAAATCAAGACATTATTCACTTATGGGTGTAGATCTCCAAGACCCGAAGGGAATATTAAAATACAAATATATTAAAATACAAAGATATTCAAGCTGAGCTTGCTGCATCAGACAGGAGATGGAATCAGACACCAAATGTGCTTCCCACAGAAGAACAAATAATTCCTGCCTGGGGTTTTGTCCTTCACAGGACGGTTTGACCTCACCCATGATGGAGCTCCCCTCCCTGCCAGAGCATTTTATTTCACTTTTCTGTGGTTAGGCTGAGAATGAGCAAGAGGGAAGCTCTGCTCACAGCCCAGAGCAGGTTAAATCCTTTCCTCAGTCTGTGCTCCTCTAATGTGCTCTTTCCTTTGGTTGCTCCTGTGGACTGTGGGGGAAAAGGAGGAGTTTTGGACCAAAAATAGGAAATGGTTTTGTCCTTTCTGAAGATGCTGTGGGGGAAAAAGTAAAAAGTAAAAAAAAAAAAAAAAAAAAGAAAAACAAACCAAAATAAACAAAACCCCCCCCACCACCACCAAAAACCCCATGCTCAGAAAACCAAAAAAACTCCAAACCCCCCCAAAACCACACACAAACACAAAACAAAAAAAAAACCACAAGAAAACCCCAAAAAACCAAAAAAGGACTGAAAGACCCCAAACAAACAAACAAAAGCCAAAACCCCCCCCAAACCTGCAAAACCTCCCCAAAAACCAACATATTTTGAGGATAAAGACTTAAGTAAATCCTGCCTATCCCCAGTAAACCTGCAGGAATAGGGTAAAAAACACACACAAACACAAAACAAAACAACCACAAAACAAAACAACCACAAGAAAACCCCAAAAAACCAAAAAAGGACCAAAAGACCCCAAACAAGCAAACAAAAGCCAAAAACCCTCCAAAAACCTGCAAAACCTCCCCAAAAACCAACATATTTTGAGGATAAAGATAAAGACTTAAGTAAATCCTGCCTATCCCCAGTAAACCTGCAGGAATAGGGTAAAAACCCTCCAAATCCCAATAAAAAAGGGATTTTTTACTGCAAGGAACTGCTGCTGTTTTTCAATCTCATCCCACATCACCATTTCCCCACCAGGAGGAAAATGGAGCTGCAATTCCAGCAGTTCTTATTTCTGGTGCTGCTTCCACTGAAGGTTTTGCTGCCGGAGTTGGGAAATTTGGATTCTTTTTTAGTTGGGAGACTTGGGTTCTTTTTTGAGCATTTTGATGCATTTTAATGGATATTTATTATGGATGTCTCTTGGGGATTTGATGAAAGTTGGCTTGCTGCAATTAATTCTCTGCAAAAGCGCTTTGAGTTGTATTAAAAAATATATATATAATTTTTTTTTTTAATGGAAATATATACATGTTCCCTTTGTGTTGAAGGAAAAAATATGGTCAAACTCAGGCCTGGGCAAAAGGGGAAAAGAAAACAGAGGTTCCCCTACAGACAGGATTTCCACCCAGTTTTTCCAGCCTTGTTTCAAAGGCGCTGTTGCACTTTTGCTGAATTCTGAACCTTTGGAAGCCCATTTTTTTTTTGTTTTTTTTGGTTTTTTTGGGGTTTTTTTTTGCATCTGATCTGCCTTAGGTTGTCAAGTGCTGCTTTTTTCCAGTGGCTCACTGGAGAACTGACAGCCAGGGAGCTTCAAAGCAGGGAGGATCTGCTTAGCATCATCATCTTCGATCCAAAGGCAAAGCCAACTCTGACATCTGGCAGCCGGCTTGGAGGCGAGGGCCATTCCACATCACATCCAGGGCAGCAGCTGCCAAAAACCCCGTGGGCCAAAGACATTTTTCTCCATGGAAAATAGCTCCTTTTGGAGAGATCAGAGATTGGGGGATGATGGTGCCAAGCCATCAAAGCTCTGGAGAAGCACGTAGCAGATACGTCTGCCTGCAAATCAGATGTTTCTGCTTCAGGATCTGGTTTTGAAGCTTCTTCCACTTTTTCCCAGCTGGCCCAGTCATCATAAAAAAAAAAAAAATCATTTCAGTGAAGGCAACTGTGTTTTTAGTCAGAAGTTTCCTTTATACCCTTGAAATTGCTGCTGTGGGCACCACGGGACCTGCTGGTCACTCAGTGGTGCTGTTGGGCCTTCTGAGCTACGTGTGTGAAGCTCTGGGCCACCAGTCATGCCAAAACTCAAAATGAGGAAAAAGACTGAGAAAATCTCTGGAAAAAAACCTCCCCAGGTTTAACCAGTGCCTACTGGAAGAAAGAAATGACATTTTGCAAAGGGATTGCCCATGAGACAAAGAGACATTTTGTCTCACCTTTGATTTTTTTTGAGGGAGAATGATGGAGAATAATCAGCCCATGCCTTGGGTGATTTGAAATTAGGGTTCAGACCAGGACAGGAACAGACTGAGATAATCTAAAAAATATCTTTTCATGGGCAGGGGGTGTATCAAGACCTGTTCTATCTCTGCCTTGTTTGATAAAAAGGAGGGAGAAGGACTTTTTATAGGGGTAGAGAGTGACAGGACAAGGGAAAATGGTTTTAAACTGCCCCAGGGCAGGGTCAGACCAGAGACTGGGAAGAAACGTTTTGCTCAGAGGGTGGTGAGACCCTGGCACGGGTGAAGCTGGGGCTGCCCCTGGATCCCTGGCAGTGCCCAAGGCCAGGCTGGGCACTGGGACATTGGGAGGTGTCCCTGCCATGGCAGGGCTGGCACTGGATGGGCTTTGAGGTCCTTCCCAACCCAAACCATTCTGGGATTTACAGCCTGGTGGTTCATCCTCAGCCCAGCAGGATTGGAGATTACAAAATTAAAGGTGACAAGGCAGAGGCCAGCTGGTGGCTGCGGTGCCTCAGCTTCTTCCAAGTTCTCTTGGGCTCTAGAAATGGAGAAGGAAAATATTTTGTTCAGAGATTAAAGGAGAGCCATAAATTGAAAATACTCCAACCTGCAGGAGGACACAATCCATCCCTCTTGTGGACACCTAAACCCAGAACACCTGATCAATAAACCATATTATTTATATGCCAGTAGCTCTCAGCATCTATATTTATTTCACAATAAAACCACCAAATGTGGAGTTAAAATCTGAGCACTGCACATGGCTGAACCCTGGCTGGATTTGTGATCTGAAAGGGCCATTTTTCACCAGCTGGTGAGAACTCAGCTTCCTTCAGCTTCTCCTTCTTGTGACAAAATGTATACATAGAAAAGGGAAAGAATAACTTGAAAGGTTATTGTTTCTAGGAGGGTGAAGAAGAAATTGGAACCAGATTCCTGTTTAAATTCTGGTGTTAATTACGTAGTGCAACTCCCTCTGAAATTAATGGAGCTCTGCATATATATAAAAAAAAAAGGTACAATTGAGCTATTTCTGCTTCCTCTGTTATCCATGAAGGCTTTGCCAGTCTATTACAGCACAGGGAATATTTAATTATTAATGGCCATGGTTACATCAGCAACCAATAGAGGGGAACTCCAAAAGTTTTAAGATGTTGAATAAAAGTGTTAGAAAAACAGAAAATCTGTTTAAAAAAAGGCACTTCAGTGTCCAGGGCTTCCAGTGAACCTCACACAAAACAAGAGTTTGGGTCTAACATGAGAAATTTGCTCAGTGTGTCATTTTTCCTTTAACATAAAACTTTCAAATGTGCCTTGGAGGAGCTGTTTAACTCACAAACTGTTCATAGGAGAGTGCAAAAAAAAAAATTATTACTCATATGGTACAGGAGAAAACCAGGGGCCTTTTCTCTCACTGCTTGTAGATAGGGGTGTACAGAAAGGAAAAGCTTCATAAGGCAAGCAGAAAATGGTAAAAATAACTCCAGTTGCTTCAAGAGTTCAGTTGCCATGCAGAAACTGAGGAGAAAAAAGACTGCTCAATATATTTTAGAGGAAAAGCTGGGACAGACATCCTAGGCTCACACTGTTGAAAAACGAAGTATCTGGCTTCTAATTCTCTAAAAATAACCTTTTTTCCCTCCCCCATTCAAAGTTGTAACCTGCATTTTTATCATTGTCTGCCTTTTCTTTTAAGATATTCCCATGTAATAAAGACCCAGCCTTGCTGAAGAGGTATTTGTGTGGCTTTTCAAGAGATGTTTTTAATATCTGGCGTCAGCTTTTCAAAGAGAAAAAGCAAAGCCTTTAACATGACCCACTCTGGGTATCACAAGGAGATTTTCCTAATTAGATAATTACAAGTCACCTTCTAATATCTTACATGGATATTAAATGCACCTCAAATTAACACCATGAATTAACAGAATCAACCAGAATCAAGGGAATTCTGCAGAATGAAAAGAGCTTTGAGATCACTGAGCCCACCCTCTGAGCTGGATGTTCTCCTCGCAAGGACGAGCGTCCAGTGCACTCTCACAATGACAGGAAGAATAAATTCGGTTTATTTCTGGTTATTATTCCATGATTGAAACAATTCCACCAGTTTAATAATGGAATGATTGATAGGTACCAATGTAATCCACCTTTTAGATAAATCTCTGAGACGAGCTTACTTCAGGGGAAGATTTTTGATTTCAGGTTGCAGTTCCTAACATTTCTTAGGTTTGACTGAACTACAATAAGTTCAGGTAAGTTCATGCCAGTGAGTTGCAATTCCTGCAAAGGCTCCTTGTCAGTGATTAACACGTTTTCCTTCCCCTGCCAGTGCCACTGTCCAACAGGAGGTACAGCCAGGACGCTCTGCCCGAGGCCTTCCCCAGCTGCATGGCGCCCGTGCCGGGCCGCTACAAAGAGGAGCTCTACGACTCCTCCATCATGAAACACAACAAAACAGAGCCCAGGATCCAGCCCCACGCCCACCTCATCAAAGAGGAGAACAAGCTGCCTTTTCCCAGAGACCTGCCCGAAAAAATGCCCATCAACGAGGGCTCCTTCTCCAACCCCCTGCTGCCCAAATCCGAGTGCTGCCAGGCCAAGGCCGTGGGACAGCTGAGCCACCTGCTGCCCGTGCCCTCGGTCTACGAGCAGAGCAGGAGGATTTGCGTCAAAGAGCCCAAATTTGGGCACATCGGCCACCACGCAGGCAGCCTGGAGGAGCTGGACGAGAGGATGAGCGTGAAGCTGGACCACGAGGCCGACGGAGAGCGGCTGATGGAGGTGAGGCCCTCAGGCCAGGTCCCCTTCGTGCTCCTCAACTACCACCACGTGCTGGCCAAGCATGGAGCCTTCCAAACCTCCCCCTGCACGGCCACGGGACACGGGGGGGAGAACTATTCCTACAACTCCGAGGAAGTCAACGCGTTTCTTTACAAAAACCAAAGCCCCTCCTCGGCGTCCTCTCCAGAAAGCCACAAGGAATCTGCACTGCCCCACTACATTGGGACTTCTGTCATCATTGCCAACGGCAGGTGACGGTAGCACGGGAGGGTTCTGTGTTCAGTGAAGAAGCCAAACTGTAATGATTTGCTAAAAAAAGGAAAAAAAAAAAGGAAAAAGCATGAGGAAACACAGTGACACTGACTGAGCAAAGCTGGAGGACAGCGAGGGACAAAGCGGTGAGTTCCAGGAGTGCCAGGAAAATCCCCTCCCTCCCTGCCGTGCTCCGGTGTCCCAGACACAGCTCTGGTGCCAGGGAGAAGCCAAGTTCCAGATCTTATTTTTGTTATTTTATAGTGTGCAGCAGAAGGAAATGAGAGGTGTTATATGCAGAGGTTTATATGAAGAACTTTTTTTTTTTTTTCCTTGACCCCTCCTTAAAATAAACTCAAGATTTTTTTTTTTTTTTTAATCATTATCATAAAATATGCATTCTAGTTTAGGTTTTTTTTGACAAATTGTGTGAAACCTTGCATCAACTCTCCACCCAACCCCCTGACACATGGACTTTGTTGAGAGAGTGGTGATTTTGAACAACCACAACACAGCTGTCCTACCCAAACAGGGAAAAAAAAAGCTTATTTATTAATTACCCAAAAGTTTTAAAACTAAATAAATCAACCCTACATTGGATTTATTTAACACAGATTTCAGTGTTCTGCGATTGTTGCCACCACCATTTATCTTGACAAGGGACAATATGAGAAATTAATAGGTACAAAGATAGGTATTACAGGGTTACAGGTCTTGTCATGGCAAATTGGGACAAATTATGGAGCAGGAACTAATTCTCCACAAATAAGAAAAGGAAACTCCTAAATCCTGTGTTTCCCTGAGTGTTCTGGGGGAAGCCTGTGCAGATTTCCAACCCAGCCAGTCACAAATACATCTTAATAACAGCACCAGAAATGTTTTCTTTATAGTCAAGAGAATAATGAACATTTCTGCCTTATTTTGAACTTACCAGTAGAATTGTGAGCTTTGAAAACTCCAGCTCTTAACACGCTGAACTTCCTCCAGCATAAATCCTGTTGTCAGCACAAAGGTAGGGCTGGAATTCCCTGCTTGGAGCACTCCACAAATCCCCAACAGCACATTGGAAACACTCACGCTTGGCCCAGCCAGCCAGGAAGAGATTTTCACCCCTTTATTTTTAATTCTTTGCAGAGGATGGGTCTGTGGGAGTTCAACTGACAACACTCAGCCCAGGGTGGTTTTCAACCATTTCCCCAAACACTGTGAGTGGATAAAACAACAAAAAAGGCTCCCTAAACAATAAATGTGGCTCTAGATCTCACTCAGCTCCATTTCTCACCCCAATTCAAGCTTAATTCAGAATTTTTCAAACTTCCTCTCATCAGACTCTAAAGAGAACTTCACTGAAAAACTTTGAGCACCCTGGGATGGTGGAAGGTCCCCTGGGTGAGCTTTAAGCTTCCTTCCAACCCAAACCATTCCATAATTCTTTGAAAAGAAAATTCTTACCTGGTTTGTGTAATATGGAAAAAAAACCCCTTGCTCATGGATTGCACCTTGTCAGAAAAATCATAATGCAATACTCAGCCCTAAAAATTCCATGTTTTCTACGCAGCAATAATTCATCCCAGAATGGTCTGGGTTGGGAGGGACCTTAAAGCTCATCCAGCACTTCCAAGCCCCTGAAATGGGCAGGGAATTTTCCATTAGAATACAGAAATAAAGTTATTTCCTTCTGTGTATAAATATTTATTGCTCCGAGTACACAAAAATACTTTAAAAGCAAAGGCTTGACAAGAATTTTCAGCATTTTTTTCATTGCATCCCATTAAAGGTTAACAGAGAAAGCTTTATTATCAAATTAATATTCACTTGAAAATGAACTTGAACTGAACACTCTCAGCTGTTGCTTTCAATTGCATGAAAAATACATTTTGTGCTAAAGAGAACAAAAAAAGCCAAATCAGTGATCACAGAAAAACCCCAAACAGAACCAAAACCAGCAGAGTCACTCCCTGAGTAACCTCAGTTTGTTCAGTGCTGGAGGAGCTGGCAGGCCTCCAGAAAAGCTGCAAATGTGGATTATGATCATGCTGACCCCACAAATCAAAGGCAGGGGACACCAGCTGCTTTCCCCGTGGGTTCAGGGCCCTCCCAGCCCCTGCTCCCCATGAAGGACCCCGATCCTGCAAAGACAATTACGGCTTCATTTTGCTCAATTCAATTAAACCCACGCCCCACGAAGGAGCCACTGGCATGGTTGGCATCATTAAAGAGAAACCTGATGCCCACCCCTCCTGCTGCACTCTCTCCCTCATTAGTGGCACTTTGGGTGTTCCTGCAAGTCCCGCTTGCTGTAAAAACACAAAAATTGGGGTTTTGCTGGAAAAAAACCACCATTGCTGTTTCTCAGCTCGATATTTTCCCACCTTGTTACTCCCACTCCCAGGCTTTGTTCCAGAGCAGAGGAGGTGTTCCATCATTGTGCCCCAGGTGTTCAGGGAGCTGATGCCCAGGCACAGGAAACCTCCCTGCCAGGCAATAATGAACCAATTAAGACCTCCCAGCTGATAATGCAGGGGAAGGTGCAGAAAAGATGGCAAAAGCAAATGTGGGAAGGAATTTTTTTTTTATTTTTCCTGCCACTCTCCCAAGATTTAAACAGCAATTCCATGTTCCCATCTGGGAGGAAATTACATTGGGAGAAAACCAGGATTTTTTTGGTCAGTTAAATTAGAGATGTTCTCAGCAAAATCATAGTGCAGAACAGGGCACTGCCATCACAGTGGCAGTGCTTTAATGATGAAAAGTGGTTTTAATAATGAAAAAAGTTTTTAATAATGAAAAATGTTTCTAGTAATGAAAAAAAAAAGGTGGCACTGAAGGGGAATGTGAATTGAAATATATTATGAAAATTAACCTCATTTCTCTGTAGTATTTGAGCCACACCTTTGCTGTGAGGCTTCACAAGATTTTGACTCTTGGGGGAGTTCAGACTTGGCAAGAAAATCATGGAAAATGGGAGAAAGAGAGTGAAAGAGGGAATATTTCACCAAAATAATAGAAAATGTGGGTTGGGAGGGACTTTGAAGATCTCATTGCCAATCAGGGAATCTTCCACCAGACCCAGGTCAAGCTGGAAAAGTGAATCCCACAGTGAGAGCTCTGCAAGTTTTGGAAGCAGTGCAATGGAAATAAAACAAGGTGATAAAGGCACAGATCTGTCCCCAGCTCTCTGTGCCCTGGGATTTGAAAAAGGTAATTTAAGGAAATTCAGCACAACAGGGGCAAAATTGGGGAATTCATCACTGAAAGTGCCAATGAATGGGAAATCTGCCAGAATTGCTCCAGAAATCTCAAGACGGGACATAAATTCTTTTTTTTTCCAGCATTTCAGTCACACTTCAAAAATGCCACAGAGGAAATGTTATTCCAGTTCTTTCCTGAAGGTTAGATTTTGCTTTTTTTTTTAATATGATGCAGATAAAAGCTATTTGGCAAGTGTAGGTGAAGAAGCACGCAACCCAACCAACCTATTCAAGCTCAGAATTATATATGTATTCCCTAAAAATGTAAAGCATTTTTGCTTATTTATTATGTAAAACAAAACTGTTAAAATGTTAATAAAATCCTGTAGCCAAAGGAAAACTGAGTTGAATTTCTCTTTTTTTTTAAAAAAACATAAACCAAAGTATTTCACAAAGGACAATGGTGCATATTTGAAAATTTATTTCAACTGTGACATGTTCTATATTGACAATTAATCTACTATAAAACACACAGAGAGTTTTTAAAATTTATTGTATTTTTGCCACGTTGCATTTTAAATGAAGACACTTGGAAAATGCAAATAACACAGAATCACTGATGAGAAACTCAACACTTGACAATTCTTCCCTGCAGTTCTTTTTTCTCCATCATTTCCTGACCCCTGCCCTTTGCTGGGCCCAGATTTAATTTCTTTGGTGTCTGATCAAGGCAGTGCATCCCCACCACCACTTAGCCATGCAAATGTTTTTTATCAACCCAGTTACCCCCAGGAACCAGCACAAATCTTTCCCATGACAGATATTTTGATTGTAGTTGCAAAAAGTAATTTTTATTTTTTTTTCCTCAGGCTGCTGACGCAGCTGAATCAGAGAAAGCAAAGAAACGAATTTTTGCACAGTGAAGCAGCAGCATAAAGAATTAAATGCTTTAATATTATTTCCAGGTAATAGCCCTTGATTTGTTGGATATATTAAAATAAAAAAAAAAAAACAAAAAGCTCTGCAGTCTTATAAAAGCTTTACTAGAAGCAGGATGTGCTGCCTGGACTCTGAAATGTGAAGTACATTATTACTTTTTCAAACCTTTGGAAGCAGCTTTGTTGCTGACTGGGCACGACCCAGCCTGGACTCGCACACGTGCCAACACACCCAGAAGTTTTCCTATCAATAAACAACCCCCACAAATGTTTTCACCATGAGAAATGTTCTACCAGAGCCCAGCAGGGAAAAAAAAAAAAAAAATTAAAAAAATGGAAATGGGGACATGGTAATAAATGGGTTTTTTGAAAGCACTTCATCAAGAAAATAGTTTAAGATATGACCTCAGCCTCACAATGGAAGAGGTGTTTTACTAATCCAGACAGCTGAATGAAATGAAACATTTTCAGAGCATTATTCCTGGGCCTGGGGCTGGCTGGATCTCCCCAGCCCCACATCCAGGGACACCCCACACCACATCTGTCTGTCACACACGGAGAACAAGGAAAACCAGGGTTTTCCTGCAGAAACGTTGTGGCTTTCTGGGCCTGCCACGTTGGGCAGAGGAAGAGTCAGACTCTACCTGAAAGAGGCAGGGACTTCATCCAGCTGCTCTCTGTCCCATGGGAACTCTCCCTGTCTTTGGTTCTGAAGGAAGAGCAACAAATCCTTCCCCAAATCCAGGAGACACCAGAAGAGGCCACTGAAAGGGCAAAGTGGCTCCCACAGCACCCCCGTGCTCTGGCACATCCAGGTTTGGGCAGCTCTCCCCTGTGGCAAGGAAATTCCACTCCAAGTTTCTTCCCAGTGCAAAAAAATTTTGGGAATAACCTGAGAATTCCCAGTGAGAACAGAACCAGCTCATCACTGGAGCAGCTACAAAAGGACCAACAGCAACCAGGAAATGCTGCAGCATTTAAAAAATGCTAAAAAAAAATCCCTCTGCTGCTGCTCAGCCACTGAAGCTTTACAAACTCATTCTGCCCTTCCAAAATTCCCATGTTTTATCCCTTTCCCCATCATTTTTGTCCCTGGTGAAAGGAAAAGGAAGTTTTCTAAAGAAGCCACTCAAGCTCCAGCCTGAGGCACCACCTGGTTGTTCGATCCCTCCAGGCACTTCCCAGTCTGTGTGGAACATGAACAAACCCCAAAAGGAGCTCCCTACAGGCAAACCCTAAAGCTGAGACAGTTTGAGCTACAAATTCTGACTGAAGGTGAAGTTTGGTAAAACTCTGTGGCTGGAAAAGCAGCACCAGAGCTCTGCTTTGCTGCAGCTTGCTCGTGAAGGAAAAGGCAGAAAAGAAATGAGGATGCAGCGGGAAGATGTGAGTGTGCATGTGCACACCCATTTTTGACAGATCTATATATAAATAGATGGGTTTTTTTCTTTTTACTGAAGCTTTATTAAGCCAGACTCGAGTTTCAGTTGATCACAACATGCATTAATATTGAATTCTGCTATCAAAGGCAGCTGCCAAACCTTCTCAGCCCAAAGCAGTTTCGAAAGCATCTGGTGGAAAAAAGCTAAATTTGGTGGATCATTTTAATTCTGGCAATTAACAGCTGTGTGTGTGCAGTTCTAGGAGATGCTGCTGTGCAGCCTCATGTGATTTGGATCATAGGGGGGGAAAAACAAAACCCAGCAGGGTTTGGACAATCAGGACAAATCTTCTGTGAGATGGAGCATGAAATCCTAAATTTAACAGGGACAATTTAATTTCTACTCTTGCTGCCAAACCACCTAAACCCTAATAGGTGAGGATTGGTCAAAATTACCATTACAGACAAGTTTCCTTGTTTTAAGACTTCTTGGCTTTGGAGCTGAGACAATCTAAAACGTTGGGATTGTTTATGAGGTGAACTTTAACCTAAAAACCCCAGTTCTGGCTAGGAGACAGTAGTTTCCTTTCTGCAATTTCCAATCTGGCTGATCCACCATGAAAAGAAGAAATTAAGGTGGCCACATCACACCTGGGACAAGCCTGGCTGGCACAGAATTGTCTGGGGAGCTGCGGTGGCCGAGTCTCCTTGGGAGAAAACCACACCAAAACCACACTGGGAGCTCCAGGAGCATTCCCAGGGTGTTCCCCCCACCTGGAAACGTGCAGGCAGCCCCAAAAATGAGCTGCTTTCAGGTCAGCAGGGGTTAAAGCTCTTGGGTTTAGGGCTCAGCAGCAAAACCAGACATGGCTTGGGAGAGGGGGTGACAAAAGGGCTGTGGAAGAGAATTTGGGCATGGGGGAACGCTGTGATTTGTGTTTCTCACTGGAACAGTTGTTTGCATCAGGGAATCTGATTTATTCCCTTTATTTATGCACTTAACTTCATTGAGATAATAGAAAATTACCAATAAATTCTAAATTAATTACAGGTTCCACCCCCTGACATGGGATTCTACAAAACCCTGGGTGTGGCACTGCTCCAGTGCGTTTTTCTTCCTGAAGCCCCTTGGAAAACCATGATTTAAAGGACAGGTGAGATGATTGACTCAGATCCAAGTGACTGAGGAGAGCAGAGTGCAAATCCCTTGGATAACCCAGCACAGCTCCTAAGTGCTGATGCAAAACTCTCCCAAAAACTCAAGGCAGCCTTTAAGAGTTGCAGACCTGAGACCAAAGCACAGGTTGGTAAATTATTGTAGAGGTTCTACACAGACAAGAACCAAATCAGGATCTTCACTCAGACCTGGAATTAAGCACAGTGGTGATCCCAGCAATTCAGGAATATGTGATGTTCCAGCTGGTTTTAGTGCAGACAACACAGAAAAACAGAATTTAGTTTAAAAAAAAATAAACAACAAAGTAAAAAAGTAAATATTGTCCTGCACTGTGCTAAATCAACCAAAAAAAAGGAAATGTTGAGCCACTTCAGTCTCTCCAGTACAGGGTGTAAATGAGGAGAAAGTTGTGCTCAGCACAAATATTCCTTGCAAAGAACAGATCCTTACAAAGAATGGCAACAGAGGTGTGTTTTAAAGTTAATGAAAAGAATAAAGGCCTCCAGCTGCGAGATCACCACCTCCTCTCAGCTGCTGACGTTACCCACGGCAAACACAGAGCGGAAAATCAGAAGGGAAAAACTCAAACTGCGCGTTCCCCTTCCCAGGCCGAGGAGCCGGCGCCAGGCAGTGAGAGGCGCTGTCAGTGCCTGGGGACGATGAGGTTCCTCAGCATGTCGAAGGAGTTGCCGTCAGGGTGCACGGACTCCACGGCCCGGCCCTCCCGGTGCACCTGCAGGAACCCGTAGTCGTCGATGCCCACGATCCAGGCGGCGGGGCCGTCCTCGCTGCGCAGCCTCACCTGCTGCCCGCTGCAACACAGAGGCTGTCAGCACCTGCCTGCCTGGCAATGCAGCCCGGGCTGGGGGAATCTCGCACAGACACAGACGCTTCATGGAAAACCCTTTCCTGAGGACTTTTCCTCCTGAGAAGCTGAGAGGCCTCAGGAACAGAATGTAACAATGGTTATCTGCTGCTGTGGAATGCAACAGGGGCATCTGGGATTGGGCTCATGGGGTTGTTTCTAATTAATGGCCAATCACAGTCAGCTGGCTCAGACTCTCTGGTCAGTCAAAGATTTTATTATCATTCCATTCCTTTCTAGTCTTCTGATGAAATCCCTTCTTCTATTCTTTAGTATCATTTTCTTTTAATATAATATATATTATTTTCTTTTAATATAATATATAATGAAATTAATATAATATATAAAATTTTAATATAATATATGATTTAATATCATACATATAATTTAATATGTATTTAATATAATATATATCATATTATATTATATTATATATATTATATATTACATAATATATCATATATATAATATAATATATTATATATAGAGTATATTTTATATATAATAAAATTAATATATACAATTTTAATATATGATTTAATATCATATATATCATTTAATATCATATATATAAGTTTCTTTTAATATAATATATAAAATTTTAATATAATATATGATTTAATATCATACATATAATTTAATATATATTTTCATAATATATATAATATATATAATATATATAATATATAATATATAATATATAATATATCACATATATAATATATACTATAATATATTATATATAGTATATTTTATATATAATAAAATCAATATAATATATGCAATCTAAATCTATGATTTAATATAATATATATAATTTAATATAATATATATCTTTTTATATAATATATATAATTCTCTTTTAATATAATTTATTATCATAATAAATCAGCCTTCTGAAACATGGAGTCAAGATTCTCATCTCTTCCCTCATCCTGGGACCCTTTGAACACCACAGTTCACACCTGGTCTTCCCAGAGGGAGCCCAGGCCCATCTGCAGCAGCCCTGGAGCTGCAGAGGAAAACTCCCCCCTTGTGCAGGATCCCTGCTCCAGCAGAGCCACAGCTGGCACTGCAGGAGGGCTGAGCCCCCATGGGATGGGGCTGTGCCACCCCCTGACACACAGGGGAACAGGGACTGCTCTCACTCTGGCAGGGTTGCTTTGTATCACTGCATTCTTATTTTATTTCAATTTTTTTCCCTAATAAAGAACTGTTGTTCCTATTCCCATATCTTTGCCTGAGAGCCCCTTAATTTCAAATAATCATTCAGAGGGAGGGGGTTTACATTTTCCATTTCAGGGGAGGCTCCTGCCTTCCTCAGCAGACACCTGGCTTTCCAAACCAAGGCAGCAGCTCATGCACACTGAGCAATTAAAACTGATGCTTTAAGATTTCAGCTTTTCTATTTTTCCAATCCTGCACTGCTTTAGTGCATGACTCTAAACTCCTTATAAAGTGTCAGTTCCTGTCTCCACATTTTGGTCAGACAGAACAATCCCCCTAGGCCTGAGATCCAAGGACACCCTACAGCCTCAGGCCCTGAAAATACAAACAAAAGTGAATTGGGAGGAGCAAACTGGGGGTTAAATGACTTCATTACCTGAAGCTGTAATTGGAGAATTAACCCCTGATATGTAAATGGACCAAACTGATAATTGTGTGAAACACTGGTGACCATTGTCCAGCTTGGGTGAGGCCTCTGGAGGCTTCTGAGTGCCCCAGGTGTGTCTGTGGAGCCTTTAATGAATACCTGCTCTTATTCTCTTAATCTTGTCTAGCCTCTGTTCTAGGGAGCCACTCCAAGGCATCAAAATCACCTCAAAGGACTCACCAGAATCATTAAAAGGATCCTGGAATGGTTTGGGTTGGAAATGACCTTAAAGATCATCCTACTCCAACCATGACACCTCCATGGCTGTCCCAGGCTGCTCCAAGCCCCAGTGTCCAGCCTGGCCTTGGGCACTCCAGGGAGAGCCAGGGTTTCCCAGGGCTTCAGCACCCTCACAGGAAAGGCTTCACCCTCTAACAGAATATTGCATTTCCCACCTCACTGGTTCTGTGAATGCTTGAATTTCAGCAGCATTTTCTACCTGCTTTAATTTCCTCTTGTGGAATGGACAGAGTTGGAGTTAATCCAAACAATCTGTTGTTTTTTCCTCCTAAAAGTACAGCAGCTTCATCCATCTCCAACCAAATCATTCCAAATTGCCTTTGTTTGGAGATGATACATTTAAAATACCTGGAAGCATTCTTTAACTCAAGCTATCACTGATTTATTATGTGCTGCTTTAATTCTCCCTTAAAAATGTGCACCCTGCTCGGGAGGATTTTAAACTATTCACTCATATTAAGGGGAATTTTGTGGAAAAAGACAAATTACCCATGAGTTCTGCCAGCAATTTTATGAAAAGAAAGTTTGAGAACTCTTACCTGTGTACCCAATACTTGTAGTACTGGGGAAGGACTCCATTGGGCCCCTTCTCCTGGAACACCTCAACGAGCCTCTCCAGCACAGTCACAGTCCTTGCAATGAGGCAATCTGCACTCAGAGGCTTCAGCTCTGTCCCCTCTTCCCTGTTAAACTTTGCAATGAGGTCATTGATGCAGATGGTGGGGTTGCTGTTATTCACATTAAACCCAAAGCCTGCAGAGGACAAAGAGGAGGACACGATCAAAGAGACAAACTCTTTGTTACCATCGCAGCCAGCACTTAATTCACCTGCTCCCTACAATCATCCCTCACTCAGGATGGCTGGTTTCATTCAGCCTCTTACACCTCTGGATCTTCCTTCTCCTATAATTACAATTCCTCAGCTCAGATTTTGCTCTTTGTCCTCAAAATTCCTCCTCAGAGTTAGAGAGGCAAATCCAGCAGAGCCTTCCACCCACAGCCCAACAAACTGCACCCTGGTTCCAGAACCATCCACGTGAGACATTCCTGTGCTCCCTGGAAGGTCCTCAGCCCACTCAGAGAACAACTGATCCCAGCCTAAGATGGAGTTTTTATCTCCCAGTCTAAAACTCAGCTCAGAGACCTTTCTGCTTCCTGCAGTGAGCTCAGTGCCCTTTCCAAAACCCCAGACTTTGCACTCAGCTGATAAGGCTCGTTTGGCTTGCTCAGGAAAGCCCAGAAGATTTGATTTTAACTTTGTAAGACTCCAGTTTGCCTAATCTATCTCACCACAGCATATCCTTTAGAAGCCTCAAGCCTCTCGCTGAGATTTCTCCAGCTGCAATTTCCAAATTCTGAGTTGGCAGAATGCCTCCCTTGTTTAAATATGGCTCTTGGGGCCTTTTCTGCAGCCTGCAGGAACAGCCTTCCAGGGATGTAAAGAACTATATTGTATTACCTGTTTATTTTTTTCTCCTAATAATTTGGGTTTGTTTTTTTTTTTTTTTTCTTCCCTCAGACATTTGGGATAAAACTCCCTGCCTGTCAATCAGGTTTGGACATGATGCAGCTCCATCTGCAAGGAGGTGCAGATGTCTTGATTCGTAAATTTGCTGTTAATAATTCATAATTTGTGTTAACTTTGAGAAGGATTCCTTCAGTGAAAAGGAGTTTGGGATTTTTAACAAGTCAGGGAATGAACACAAACAAGGCACAGGGATCCCAACACACCAGTCCTGTGGAAATGAGCTGAAATGGGTTATTGGAAAGAGATAAAGGAAAATGAACTGGAAAATGCAATGAGCTGCGCCAGCAAATCCCAACTCGGCCATCTGCACCCCAGTGTGAGGGAACAGAGACCCCACTGAGGGGTCCCAGGCTCTTGGGGTCCATCAGGATCACTGCTCAGCAACCCAAAACGTGGGACACAGCAGCCACCCGGGGACGAGGAGCTGGGCTGAAGCCCCAGCACCAGGGAACGAACGCGGCAAGGGGGGAAAGGCAGCCAGGAAACTGGAAAGCCACAGGGAAAGCCACAGGGTGCTCGGGGCTCTGGGGGCACCTGGGCAGTGCCCACGGGAGAAGAGAGCGTTCAGCAGTGCTGCTGGGGCTGATGGATGTGCCAGTGGTGGATCCACGAGGAGCTGCACGTGCCTGAGCAGAGGCTGAGCAGGGTTTGCTGCTCGCGCTCGCTGCCTGCCCCCTGCATTCCGCTGGAGCTGGGCTCCTCCGCCGGCTCCGAGCCTGGCCCTCGCAGTAATGGTGAGTATTCTCCTCAGAACTCCTCCTCCAGAAGAGCCAACACCGTGAAGTTCTTCAATTTTAAATCCCAAATTGGGGAAAAAAAAGGGTTTTGGTTGTTTTGGTTTTTTTTTTCCAAACTGTGTTTGAAAGTCTCGGCATTGAGCGTTGTCACCTGCAGCGTTTGAGCAATGAAAATGCAGGTTTGTCTCTGATCTTACTCTCCTGAGCAATGAACATGCAGGTTTGTCTCTGATCTTACTCTCCTGAGCAATGAAAAGGCAGGTTTGTCTCTGATCTTACTCTCCTGAGCAATGAAAATGCAGGTTTGTCTCTGATCTTATTCTCCTGAGCAATGAAAAGGCAGGTTTGTCTCTGATCTTATTCTCCTGAGCAATGAAAATGCAGGTTTGTCTCTGATCTTACTCTCCTGAGCAATGAAAATGCAGGTTTGTCTCTGATCTTACTCTCCTGAGCTCCTCCTCAGAGCAGGGAAGCCACAGAGATGGTCCTTGATTTCCATCATCACAGAATCACAGAATTTCTAGGTTGGAAGAGACCTTCAAGATCATCGAGTCCAACCCATGTTCTAACACCTCGCTAGATCATGGCACCCAGTGCCACATGCAGGCTTTTTGTAACACATCGAGGGATGGTGACTCCACCACCTCCCTGGGTGGATGATTCCAGTATTTGACCACTCTTTCTGTGAAAAACTTCCTCCTTCATTCCAGCCTGTATCTCCCTTGGTGCAGTTTGAGACCGTGTCCTCTTGTTCTGTCTGTTGCTGCCCGGAGAAAGAGACCGAGCCCAGCTCAAATGGTTTCCATCGTTATCCTCATATATGGGAGATTCTGAGGAATGCCATGCAAAGAGTGAGTTCAGTGCCTGCAGGTGGCACTGAGTGCTCTGGGCTGGGGACAAGGTGGGCACAGCTGGGACTCCACGGGCTGGGAGGGCTTTTCCAACCTCAGGGATCCTGGGATTCTGTCTAGGAAAGGCTCCTTTGGAAAAGAGGAGATGGACCTGACACACCTTTCCTGCTGGGGAAGCTGGATCCCATCACTCCTACCAATCCCAACACTTCAATGACACGAGGCCCCTCTAGGACTCCCAGTGAGACACAGCACTGGAACGATGGAAAACATCCTTGGATTCATATGGAGCAAGGAAGTTTCAATTTGAAAAGCTTCCAGCTGAAAACAGACTGATGAAAATGGACATTTATCTATACCTCAGGCCTTCCAGATCGGTATAGAAAGAGAATGGATACAGAAAGTCTCCGTTTGAATTGGAGTATTTTGATGTTTAGGGTAAGAAGGGAAAGGTCCAAACCAAATATGTGAAGTGCTTAAAGAGATATTTGATATAATGAACTATTTTTGGATGTATTCCTGCTTTCCTTGTGTTAACCAGGCTGTAGGAAAACATGGAAGTTGTAAATGGCTGAAGGGGCACAGAGAGATTTCTTAAGTTTCTGTGCAATTTCCACTCTGTTCGAGTGGATTATTTACAAAATGAAGGTATAAAATGGAACAGAAAATGTCATGTCTGGGCATGTTTCACAGAAGGAGGTGACTTCTTCAACTCTTTTCTGCCTTGCACCTCTAAAATCACCGAACTTTGACAGAAACAACATCATGACCACACTCCATCTTTGCAGGATATTTACTTGTGCTATATTCAAATAGCAAATATCATTTTTTTCTTTACCCTTTTAGACTTGCTAAGGAATTTTCTTTCAATTTTTTAGACACAGCAGAGACAATTAATTACTTTTGGAACCAGAATCTGGCAGGTTTCTCAGCAGATCTGGGATGCTTAGGGGAAAACTTCCTTATCACAGAGCAGGATGATAATCAGACTAGAGATGACAAAAATATCTCAATAATTAAAAAATGAAAAAACATTACTCTGTGCATGTAGCTCTTTTGATTTAAAAGGCATGTTCTTCATTTAACTATTTGACATGTTCCAAAAAATCCATAAATTGGGAAAAAAGGATGGAGTTTTCAGTATATTCCACTGGTTTTGCAATAAATCAAGGAGGACAATTTCCCTCTCCCATGTAATGCTCTTCCTTTGAACTCTCCTACACCAATCCAGATGCCTGCATTTATGTTTTACTTGTCAGGCATATGGAATTATTAAGAAGAATGAAAACATTTACTTTTTGTGCTTCCTCTGGATTGAATGTTGTGCTTTCTTTCCTTATGCCTGCTGTCATTATTTGTTCTTGTCGTTGCCATTTTTACTGATACAGACACTGATAACAAAATCCTCCAGAAAAAAAACCAAAAATCAGCCAAAAAAGCTTCAAAACAGACATTTACCAATGAGAATATGAAATGTTGTTTCAATGAGTGTTGAGTTTACCAGAACTCCACCAATCTTCATCAGGTCACTGTAGTAAATATCATTTGGCCACTTCACTCGCAGCTCAATGTCCTAAAGAAACAAAAGCAGACATTTAGAGACATTTATGGCTCATTCATGACTCCATAATCTGTAGAGAATCATGGAATGTTTGGGTTGGAAGGGACCTCAGAGCCCACCCAGTGCCACCCCTGTCATGGCAGGGACACCTCCCACTGTCCCAGGCTGCTCCAGCCCCAGTGTCCAGCCTGGCCTTGGGCACTGCCAGGGATCCAGGGGCAGCCACAGCTGCTCTGGGAATTCTATTCCAGGGCCTGCCCACCGTCACAGGGAAGGATTTTTTTCCCAACATTCCACCTAAACCTGTAATGTTTCAGTTTAAGGCCATTCCCTGGGTGCTGTCCCTGCATCCCCTGGAAATTGTCTCTCTGCAGCTTTCCTGGGGCTCCTGCAGGCCCTGCAAGGCCACCCTGAGCTCAGCCCAAAGCTTCTCCTGTGCAGGTGAACAATCCCAGCTGTGCCAGCCTTTCCTCCCAGCAGAGCTGCTCCATCCCTCTGCCCATCCTGGAGCCTCCTCTGGGCTCTCTGCAGCAGCTCCAGCTCCTCCCTGGGCTGGGCCCAGGCCTGGGCCCAGCTCTGCAGGTGGGAAATCACCTGAGCAGGGCAGAGGAAGAGAATTTTCTCTGCCTTTTTACCACACCCAAAATGCTGCTGTCAACTGCTCCTCTTAATGAGAATCTACTGAAATGCTCCACAAATGCTACAGAAAATGGAACCCTGCCTGAGGAACCTTGCAGACACTGATGCCTCAGGTTTGAGCTTTTCTATTTTTCAGGTTCTGTGCTGCTTCAGTGTGTGGGTCTGGGTTCATATTCTGGGATGGTGAGCTCTGTGCACAGAGCAGGGAGACAAAACAATTCCTGCTCCAGCTGGGCACCAAGGACAAATGACCCAAATCTCAGCCCCAGAGCACAAACCCCGTGGGCTGGAGAGAGAAAAACAAGCAGGGTGGGACTGCAGGGGCTAAAGCTGGGATGGGACAATGAACTGCAAGATGCAAATGGAGCAGAACTGATCCCAGGGACAGAGCCCGTGCCCGGCCGTGCATTTTGGGGCCATTTTGGTTCATCTTGGGTGCAGCCCTGGCTGGGCTCTGGTGCTGCCCAAGGTGCATCCATGGAGGCCTTTGAATAAATCCCTGCTTTATTCTGTAGCTCTGCCCAGCCTCTGCTCTAGGCCAGCCTGCACAAGGCATCAGTAGCAGCCAAAGAGACAGTGACATCCTGAATTTCAGAAAGGAAATTCAGCAGACAGGAGAAATCCCAGTTCCCAACCACAGAAATGGTTCAGAGATGTCCCAAGGCTGTCCCTGCTGGCAACACAAACTGAGCAGTGACAACGTCCCAGCCCCACAGAGCAGCTTTTGTTGAAACCACAGGGCTGAGCTGAGCTTTGCACTGGCTACTTAAACACAAAAAGAAAGCAAATGTGCTTCCTGCAGCTTGAAATACTGCCCATGGCTGCTGCATCCCCGGGGGCAAATCAGGGGAGGTGCTCCAGGCCTACAGGAGTCGCATTCCCTCCTATTGTAGGGGCAGAAATCCCTTTACAGGATGTGTGAAAGCTGCACCTGGGTCCGTGTCTACTTTCCTGACAGATTTAAAGGCCAGGGAGGAGTCCATGACACGTCCACTGACAGGAAATACTACCTGATTTTGCTATCAAAGCATTCTGAGGGAAAGTATCACCAGCTCCTATTCGTTATGGAAAGGAACTTGGCTCCCTGCACCGGGGGAAGGATTTTAGGGGACTCTGGAGACATGGGAGGAATGACACAGTGAAATGGTGCTCTCAGTGATAAAAGGGGGAAACACACACCTGTGAGACAGCAGACAGTAGCTCTGTGACTGAAGTGACAACAAGCAGCAGGAACAGCTGAGGCAGCTGGGTGTTCTCATCACTGCTGTATTTGTGGGGTGCCCCCATGAAGGGAGGAATGATGAATCTGGCTCCATGTTCTCAGGAGGCTGATTTATTATTTTATGATACTATATTATATTAAAGAATGCTCTGCTAAACTATACTAAAGAATACAGAAAGGACACAGACAGAAGGATAAAAAGATAATAATGAAAACTGACTCTCTCCAGAGTCCTGACACAGCTTGGCCCTGATTGGCCAAAGAGTGAAAACAACTCCCAGCAGAATCCAATGGAACAATCACCTGTGGGTGAACAATCTCCAAACACATTCCACATGAGCACAACACAGGAGAAGCAAATGAGATAAGAATTGTTTTCCTTTTTCTCTGAGGCTTCTCAGCTTCACAGGAGAAACATCCTGGGCAAAGGGATTTTTCAGAGAATGTGAATGCCACACGTGACTTTGCCACGGAGTGTGTTCACCAGGTACCACACAAAATGTCACAAAATATGCTGGAAATGGAGCAATTCTTGTCTTCCCTCACTAGAGAGACTCTGCTGTTCTCAGAATGGGAGAACAAAGCATCCTCTTGATTTGAAGCCCATTTGCATCCTCAGCATGAACATCTGACAAGGGACCTTCCACCGAGCCCTCAGATCTGCTCTGGGAGGAGCCACACCAAAGCCTTGGTTACTGCTGGTTCAGCAGAGTCAGTGATTGTGGCCATCCTAAAAGCCATGAGTGGCTGATAAACTGAGCCATGGACCTCTTGGAACCAGGATGGGCAGAGGGATGGAGCAGCTCTGCTGGGAGGAAAGGCTGGCACAGCTGGGATTGTTCACCTGCACAGGAGAAGCTTTGGGCTGAGCTCAGGGTGGCCTTGCAGGGCCTGCAGGAGCCCCAGGAAAGCTGCAGAGAGACAATTTCCAGGGCATGCAGGGACAGCACCCAGGGAATGCCCTCAAACTGAAAAATTACAGGTTTGGATGGGATGGTGGGAAAAATTTTTTTTTTTTTGTTTCTTAGAGCAGCTGGGGCTGCCCCTGGATCCCTGGCAGTGCCCAAGGCCAGGTTGGACACTGGGGCTGGAGCAGCCTGGGACAGTGGGAGGTGTCCCTGCCATGACAGGGCTGGGATGATCTTTCAGACCCTTCCAACCCAACCCATTCCATGATTCCATCCCTCTGCAGATCATCCCATTGTTTGTGGCTGCTGCAGCTGGTATGACATGGACATACAGAAAAGCCTTGCAAGACTTGAGTGCAAAGGGGAAATTCAAGCACTGAGTTTTTGATAATTTTTAACACTTTCTTGCTGTAACATCATTGATTCTAAACCTTTAACTCTGTTTTGCCCCCCTGCTGATGTCCCCTCAGGTTCAGCAGATCTGCCCTGGTCACTCTTTACTCTCCATATGCTCAGTACAGTACACTCATTATCGATCCTCATTTTTTACATCAATATTTGGAACTTCAGTCACCTTTTTCCTCTTGAATGGAATAAAATTAAAAAATGCCACAGCACATCAGGGCAGGCACACAGGAGCAAAACCACCTCCATTCATAAATCAGCTCCTTCCCCAGTCATCCCCATATTTTATAAAACTAACCCTTGTCCCTTTGTTTTTAAGTGGTCAAATTATCCACTCCAGCCAAATATTTTATATTGCAAATTTTAGCCTGAAGCATTTTGTTTTTCCAGTCAGGTTATGAAGCACTGAATTTAGAAGGTTTTAATAGAAAGGCTGACAGACCCTAAACTCCAGCAAAGCTACTGGGTGCCACTATAATAAAGTTCATGTGTAAATGTGTATAAGTCATTGATTTTCTGTAATATAGGAAACATATGCTTTAGTTAACTACTTCTGTAAAATACCAAAGTTTTATAGTTAGCAAATATTAGGAAATGGTAACATTAAAAAGGAGATATATGAGGTGGTAAAGAAGACTGGTTCTTCATTTTAATACTGATGACAGGACACTTGATTCCCTCTCGAGAGCAATTCTCCTCAGCTCTTGCTTTAGAAATCAGTTTTCAACCTTAAACAAGGGTTGGAAAAATCCTTTAAAAGGGATAAAGTGACCACTGAAACAGCACCAACGAAAAAGCAGAAAAGGATTTGTCAGTTTTATTCATTTTTCCCTCCTCCTTATTCTCCTTCAAAATCAAAACAAATCAGCTCCATTGTTGGGCAAACAAAATTGACTTTTTCTTTACTGCTGAGGATTGAGGCTTAAGTTTCATAAGATTAAGAGTGAAATGAGTGCAGTGCATTTGATCAGCTCTGTAAAAGAACATTCACCCTCTGGATATTGGATTTCTCCAAACATATCAATAATCAAACACGAGGAAGGTTAAGTTTAGATTGTTTTAAAGAACTGAATTATACATTCAGCCATTACACACAGAAAAGGCCCAGCAAAAAGCTGAATTTCCTGGAAATGGAAGGAGGGATTTTGAGATGAGTTAGAAGGACATACCTCATATCCTGGGATGGACCTGACTGCCTCTACCACTGCCAAGGACACCAGGTGCTGGATGAAAGGAATTCTCTGGCCCAGGTTGGAATGTAGAGGGATGGAGAGGTGCAGAGTGGACAGGGCACAGCCCATGGGACTGAGCCAAACGTTCCCACCACGACCTGGGCATGAGAGGGAAAAGGGGAACTTCAACTCAGGACAAGAACATTTTTATAAAAAAGATCACCTTGTGAATGTAGATAACAAAAGATAACTAAAGACAGAGAAAACTAAAGAGAAAGCTTCAAAGGTATCCATCCAAGAATGTACCAAAAGTTCCTTTAATGGAGTTTTCCAAACTAATTTTGAAAGAAAAAGGGTTAAAGTGCAAAGCTTTTTCTTAAAAAAAATATTGGAATTGTTTAAATATTGCTGTATCCCTGTAAGTGTTCAAGGCCAGGTTGGAAGGGGCTCTGAGAACCTGGTTTGGTGGAAGGTGTGGCAGGGGATGGAACAAGATGATCTTTAAGGTCCCTCCCAACCCAGGCCTTTCTAGAATTCTGCTCTGAGGTTCTGCAGGACAAGCTGCTGCTCAATTTCCCAGCATGTCCTAAATCCCCTGCTTCCAGGAATTTTCCTGGTCTCTGCTGACAGACACATTTTAAAAGATCTTGCTTTGCTCAAGTGGAAAAGCATTTCTGAAAATGCTCTGTGTGCACCCAGAAATGCACCCAAACTCTGAACCACCCTGCACTGCAAGCAGGGAATCATCTTTTCATGGATTTGTGCTCAGAAAAAGCTTCTTGGGCCACACACTCTGCTCTTGCAGCAGAATAAATGTGGCTTTTAAAGAAGTGCCAGCATTTTTCTGGGCAGGAAACACGACTTGCTTACATTGATCTGCTCAGGCAGGTCCTTCAGACTCAATCTCAGAGCAAGTCAAGCCCCAGTCCTGCTCCAGCTAACCCAGTTTCAGTTTTCATCTGGAGCTCTGACTTGTGTTACACTCAGTGTAGTGATGGCAGCTTTTGTGACTGGCAAAACTTTTTTGGCAGGAACCAGGAGACCATTAAATCATTTCTGCAAAAGCCACCAAACATCCTGAAAATGTTTACTTTGGTCTCTTATTAACTTTTGGGTTTTGAGTATGAATCCACAGTTTGAGCAGGAGGAGAAGAGGACAGGCTTATTCTATGGATTATATTATCAAAAAATGCTCATAATGCAGCTTGAAATGTCCTATTTTGTGTATTTAACACACATTTATGAATAAAACAAGGAGATTTACTCACCTTTCCCTTGTGTTTGTCGAACAGCCACTGCTATTAAACCCATCTCCTCAGGCAACTCGAACATTAACCTGCCAATTAGGGAAAAAACCAAAAACCCCACATGCTTATCAGCTGCAACACTAAGCTACATTCATGAAAATCAAGGCTTAAATATCAGGTAATATTTTATGTTAACGTTGCACCACCATTTTTTTCAGTTAACATTTAGTCCCGAACCAAACCCATTAGAATATTAAAAAATGATTGGCTGAAAAAGGATAATGTAAAATATTATTTTATCTGAAATGAGTCAGAGCTACAGTTCATTTGAGTTCTGATAACCCAGGTTTTGTATTTCTTCACTTCTCCCTCAAATGCTCATTTTTTGGGTGTCCCTATCTTCAGCAAGTGACAACCAGCAATTCCAAACATTTGTTTCTACTTACAGCGAATTTTTGGTCATACTACAAAATATAAGAGCAGCAGTTTCTGATTATTTAGAAAACCAATATGGTGGCAATAAAGCAGTTTAAAAGATACACTATCCCCTGAGAACTAATTATGATTTAACTACAGTAAATAAATCTACACCTTCTGAGAGCTCTAGAGAACACTGGCTTATTTTAGGCTTGTGTTCTGCTTTTAAAATAGTTTCACCTAAAAGAATACTAACTTTCCTCTGGGGATAAGTAGAAAGTGCACTTTAACACCACCAAATGAGTCAATGCTACACTTTAAATAAAATTAAAAAAAAGAAAAGAAGAAAAAACCCTACTGTGACAACTTTGTTCAAGCCACTTTTAAACAGATCTGAACGGCACCATGATCCTCCTCCATTTCACATTTTCAGGGTTATTTCAGAGATAAAACATATTCAAGATGTTGCATGTGAGGTAAGCCCAAAAAGGGATGTCTAGCCCACAAATCTGCTTCTCCCACAGGCACAAACACCATGTTGTTCATTCCTATAAAAGCAATCTTGTCTCGGGGTAAGGGCAGCCCAAATCAGAGAAAAAAGCACCATTCACAATGATTTCCTGTGAGAAATGGATTTGTGAAGAATTTCTAAAATTTGATAGAAAGTCTACATAGTGATGTATATTTGTATGTAAATACTGAGATAAGGTGTAAGTAAGATTTAAAATATGGTTTTGTAAAATGATTAGGTATTTTAGAGAATTAGAACTGTGAAAGATGTATTGTAGTAAGGCCATGTAAGGAAAAAATACAGGTAATTGGTGTTAGAAGTAATAGTACTATTGTGTGGTAAAAGTTATTAAGTTTAAATACATAATAGTTCATAAGTTGAAATATAAACATTTATAAAGTATTGTAATTAAGAAATAGATTGGCTTCTGATGGAATGGCATTGTTTTACATCTCTTCTATGTCACTATTCAAGACTCATAATAAAATCTTTCAAAACACCTCTCAGTTGCCCCATCTCTATAACAGCTGAGAAAACCAATTTCCCCTGAATTTCAGACGGGTTTGGGAGCTGTTTCAAGCTCTGCAATTGAGGAGGTGCAGGAGCAGCAAGGAGGAGCTGTGAGTGTCCCACAGAGACACAATTGTTTGTGCTGAGATGAGGAACCTTTCATTGCCCTGCTCCACAGGCTGATAAATGGGACATCAGCAGCTCCTGGGGCTGTGGCAGCACCAAAGTGCAAGAAACCCAGAGATTTCAGAGCATCTTTCAAATGCCTAAATCAGTTTAGGTTGGATGTTATAAAAACGTTTTTTCCAGCAAGGGTGAGAAAGTTCTGGAATGGCTGCCCGGGGAGGTGGTGGAGTCCCCATGCCTGGGTGTGTTGAACAAAGCCTGGATGTGGCACTGGGTGCCAGGGTTTAGTTGAGGGGTTGGGGCTGGGCTGGACTCGATGGCCTTGAAGGTCTCTTCCAACCCAGGGATTCTGGGATTCTGGGAATTCTGGGAATTGCTGTGCACAACTCCCTGCCAGGAGGGGCACTGAGGGGAGATCAGGCTCTGCTGCCATGTCCCAAGGGAAAGGAGGAGAGGAAATGGCCTCAGATTTAGGAAGGACCTTGGGACACTGAGCACATCCAGAGGGGCCAAGGAGGCTGCAGAGGGGCTGGGAACACAAACCCTGTGAGGAAGCCCTGAGGGAGCTGGGGGTGCTCAGCCTGGAGCAAAGGAGACTCAGGGCTGCCCTCCTCACTCTGCACAGCTCCTGAAAGGGGCCTGGGCTCAGCTGGCCCTGGGCTCTTTCTCCAGCAGCACTGACACAACCAGAGCACACAGCCTCGAGCTGCACCAAGGGAAATCCAGGCTGGAGAGCAGGGAAAAGGTTTTTCCAGCAAGGGTGAGAAAGTTCTGGAATGGCTGCCCGGGGAGGTGGTGGAGTCCCCATGCCTGGGTGTGTTTAACAAAGCCTGGATGTGGCACTGGGGGCCAGGGTTCAGTTGAGGGGTTGGGGCTGGGCTGGACTGGACTCGATGGCCTTGAAGGTCTCTTCCAACCTGGTCATTCTGGGATTCTGTGATTCTACTTTCATGGTGATGAGGTTATTGGAAAGCCCAAGCAAAGTCTGGATCACAAATGTCTTTGCTAAATACAAATCACAGAATCCTGGAATGGTTTCGCTTGGAAGGAACCTTAAAGATCATCCAGTTCTATCCCCTGCCATGGGTAGGGACACACAAAGCAGCAGCAGCTGGACCAGGCCCCACAATGTTTTCCCCATTATTCCTGAGTCATGGAGATGCCATCAAAGGCCAACAGCCAGAAAATCTCTTTGCCAGTCACCTTCCATGGAACACACCTTGGGAATTGTCTCCTCTGAACATTGGGGATCACATGCTGAGACCAGGCCCACCTACCTACCACCTTTAGAAGTAAATTTTACCTCTTGATACTGAATCTCAGAATCATCAAGGCAGGAAGAGCCCCTCAGGATCATCCAGTCCCACCAGCATCACCCCAAACCCTGTCCCCAAGGCCACATCCAGACTGCTCTGGGACAATTCCAGGGACTCCAAACCTCCCTGGGCAGCTCAGCCCAAGGCCTGACCACTCTGAGAGGGAAACTTTCTGTGCCAATCTCCAACCTGAGCCTGCCCTGGTGCCATTTGAGGCCATTTCTCTCCTCCTTTCACTTTCCCCAATCCTCTCTCACTGCCCCTCCTGCAATGAGCTCCCCCTGATCCCCTTTGCTCCAGGCTCAGCCTCTCCAGCTCCCTCAGCTGCTCCTCCCAGGATTTGTTTTCCAGATCCTTCTCTTCCCTGGACACATTCCAGCCCCTCAGGGGGAAAATCCCCCAAAGCTCAGGAGGTTTTATCCCTGTCTTCTGGGAGCAGCCTGATTACAACACCAATTCCATGTTTTTGCAACATAAAAATCCAATTGAAACTTGGACACACAGTTAGGAGGAAATTACAGGCTTTGTTGAAACACACGGATTTCTGCTGCTCCCCCATTCATGTATCTGTTTTGAAATAATGAAAAAAGAAAAATAAAAATCATGTGCTGCCATGAGGGGAGGAAAATAAACAGAGCAGGAGAAAAGCTAATTAGGAATGCAAAACACAGGCTTGTGCACCAAAGAGATACAATTAGGAGAACAGATGATGCAGCTCTTGGAGACTTGGCAGCAGGTAACAACTTATTACATGGACAGGCTGAGGCTGGGCTTTCAAGGGTCACAAAGAAATTCTTTAAAGGACACAACATGGGGAAGTTGTTAATTCCCAGGCTGATGCACCGACAGACACACAGAATGATTTTTTTACTGCTTCCTGAGATTGTGCTGGAATTAACATGAAGCCAATGATAATAAAATTCTCCACACAGCCTCCTGCCTGCCTTCCCTCAGCTCAGAGCTCTGAGCATGGTGTGTGCTTGTTAGTTTGGTGGGGTTTTTTTCTTCTCTGGGAGAAACAACTTGGATTTTCCTTACCAGAAAGATTAACTGTACGTGCACTTTTTTACATATTGACTTCCCTTCTTCTCTTTCAACTTAATCACTTGCAGGCTTAACAATTTCATTTTTCTGCAGAGTGGCTTAATCACAGTGCTCACCACATTTTCCCCCCTCCATGAAATATTTTCCTTCAAGAAGTTATCTTTTTTTTATTTTCTTTTTCTTCTTTTTGTGCTCTTTAACCATCATGTTCTGTGTATTAATTCCAAAAACCAGAATGAGATAGAAGATTAAATAAATTTACCCATCAGGAAGAATATCAGATGACATCTATATGATCATAGAAGATGATCCTGGAATTTTATGTAAACTTTTCTCTTTTTTTCAACATTTTTGTGGTATTTTCCAAAATGTGAGCAAGGCACTTTTGGCATTCAGCTGAAATAGTGAGAGGTTCTAGCACAGTTTTTTATACAAATACCCTCCTCCCCACCCTGCAGTGCATATTATGAGCGCTGACAGGAGTAATAAACAATATTTAATTATTTTACAGAAATTCCAAGTGTAAGGAGGGCTCTCCTGCCAACACAACGACTTTTCATCCTACATGAACATAAAATGGGAACTGAAACCCCCCGAACCACGTTTGACTAATGTTAACAGCTATAAATTTCATTGAAGTTGTGGGCTTAAGGTTGAAACTCTCATTAAAGCATCCTGCTGTGTTACAGGATTGCAGGGGCATTACCACAGCCAGCAGAGCATTCCAGATGTTCAAATACCTGGGCACAAGAGTTATGGGCAGATTTGTCCTTTCCCTTTGAGTTCCTTGCCTGAAAATCTCACTCTCAAAGAGGTTGTTTAGAGAGTATTGTAAGAGCAACACAAAAAAACCAAAAAACCCCCCCAAAAAAAACCTACCAAAAAAACCCACCAAAGAAATCCCAAAAACAAACCCCAAAAACCCAAACCCTTTCAATTTTAGTCAAGTCAATGAATTCCAGAATTATTTAGGTTGGTGGGCCACAGTTAGAGGAGAAGACACCATGGATGAGAGTAGGTTTGGATTAGATATTGGGAAAAAATATTTCTCTGGGAAGGTGGGAAGGCCCTGGAAAGAATTCCCAGAGCAGCTGTGACTGCCCCAGCCTGGGATGGTGGAAGGTGCCCCTGCCCCATGCCATGGATGAAATTGGACAATCTTGGA